CTACGTCTGTCCAAAAAATCAACAGTGAACCTTGACTCATCTGAAAACATCACATTGCTCCAGCGTCGATTATCCCAGTGTTGACGATCCCTACACCAACGACGTCTTGCCTGAATGTGATGATCTCTCAAACAAGGGATCACGCGAGGACGTCGGGCGCGAAGGTGACCCCTATGCAGTCGATTCCGAATCGTCTGGCCACTCACTCTCACACCAGTGTCTGTTTGAAGACGAGCGCTGATCTGATTTGCTGTGATGACACGATTTCTCAAGGCCAAGGTACGGATAAATCGATCCTGGGCTTGAGTTGTCGCCCTTGGTCGACCTGAGCGTGGTCTGTCCTGTACAGATTGTGTATCACGGTATCTGGACCATAGCCTGCTTATGACAGACTGAGAAACATTCATCGTCCGCGCCACAACCGCCTGTGTTGTGCCGATCTGTAGCATGCCAAGGGCACGTAACCTTTCATTTTGGGTAAGCCGACGCATATCAAAATTTGTTTTCTGGTCACTAAAACAATTAAACTGATGTTTCCACCCTGGAATTCAATGCCACAATGACTGTAACATTCAAAGTCAGAGTCGTGCAAATCTTGGGTTGGACCCCCATGATGATCCCAAGCATCACCTGCATTCCATGCGGTAGCTATTGGTGCGTTTGGGCGTCACATGTAACTGGAAATGTTTCTTCTGTTAGGTTCTATAGTGACTTTTTCGTAGTCATTTGCATATTTTAGTATTATGCCCCCAAAATCAAATATCCCCTACTTTTTTTGAATAGTATAGTTTTTAACTATTATAGTGAGAACTGCCAACTCGTTATCGAATCTCCCATCATAATGTATCTTTAAAGGCCCAATACCACTCTTGTTGTAACTGAATACTATGTCCCAATCTTTATTATGGTCAACAAATTGTACTATTTTACAATATTCCAATTAATTGGTGATATAAATTTCATCTTAACACACCTAATTTAAACAAATTGGAAAAATTCAACTAAATGATTTGAAAAGCCTGACGTAAAGCTTTTCAAATGTGACTGGGATTTAAAAATATTTTTGAACCCTCTAGACAAGTAAAATAGGATTTAATGGATAATTTACACAACAGGTCAAGCCAACTAGAGTGTTATTGTCCCTTTAAATATTAATTTCAAAACCAGTGACAGTGAGCTGTTGTGTTGAACTGTGAAATGAGAACGTTAAAGTAGTAGCCTACCATGTCCGTTCCCTTTTAATTTAAAATTATCTATAATCTAACCGAATTCGACAGTATTAATAATATTAATAGGGACTAAGAGGGGTCAAGGGAGGCCATAAAGGCATAATATCTTCGTAGTGAGACCGATATTACCGCTTCTGTAAAGCAAATACTCGCGAATAGGCCTATGGAACGTCGGGTGTAAATATCAAGGCCACCTGGAGATTCTGTCATGGTCATGAGATGTAAACAGTAAACACTACAGGCCTAAGCCCTAGAGAGAACGTGATTTAATTTGTTGCTGAGGAATGTGGGTTAGGGTTAAGTCTTTTTTTCTAGTTCAAGGTCAGTTTTAAATTCAAAAGGAGGTACGAGGGCGTACTCGATACCACCCTTGGATCGCCTACCGACACGGCAGTCTTGTCGAATTGATAAAATGAAAACCCGTCGCAATATTTTAAAAATGTAATACGCATGCATAATCTGCTAATTCTCAGTAAATCCATTATTGCTCTACATCGTGGCAGTCACAACGCATAGATAAGCATAGGCCTTGGCAATTGCAATAGGCATAGGCATGAAAACATGAATCAAACAGACTAGGCCCAAGTACACAAGGTCTAGCCGATTTATAATCTAGGATTTGAGGCCAAAGAAGGCAAGGGGCTAGGCTAAATCTAGAAATAAAACTTAGGCTTGCCTAGTTAAAAATGAAAGTAAAGGCCTGCCGTAGTTTTAAGTTTAGGAGGCTAGCCTAGTTACGACCTAGCCAAGTCTATTCCATTCTATTTTTGAATCTGGACCTATGCAAAGTATTTAGAATCTTACCTCTGATTGTGGCAGTGTAGCCGTAGGGGTAGAAGAAACCTGTTTCGTCGTCGACATCGTAAAGGTAAATTCGTACCGGTACAGTACTTCTAGAATCTAATTTTGGTCCAAGATGTCGTATAGCGCCTAAAACTACCAGCTACGTCATTAGACTCTGAAGACGTAGACACGAAATCTGATTGGCCAATGTGTATGTACATAAGGCTATGGTATTATTATTCCACCCTACCCAATCGACCAACCTCAATAATATATATTATTATATTATAATATACCCCCTGTTCAACCGGGTGGAACTGAATCATAGAGGCTTATTGAATCCCTAGGGTATACCTCAGTTGCATCGGGTTGTTGGACGCGGATTCTACACAAGTTTTGCATTTAATTAAAATAAAATTAAATTAAACAAAAATACATTTTATAAATCTGATATGACAAATGTCTGATTTGTAAAACAAATTTTGATTTTAAGATACAAATGTTAATTTTAGTGTTACAATAAATGTCGAAATACGACAACAAACGAAGAAATAAGAATTAGGGAATATGATTAAGAACTAAGAATTAAGAACACTGAATAAAGAGCTGTTTGTTCTTCCATAAAATATCATTACCCAAACGCTTCCCACCAACCTTGAATAAAAATCTGTTACAAACTAAAGCCTTTATCGCGTCCAAACTGTGTTTGGAAAAGGGTGCATAACTCTGGTAAGAAAGGAACGCTGAATATGAATAGGATTCGCCATTTCAACCAAATTGTTTCGCTCTGAACCGAAATATTCATTCTTCAATTTTAGGCTAGCCTCGAACGTTATTACTAACTTTGGTGCGATAATAAAGTCAAGTCTCGATTATCCATTTTTAAGTTAAATTATCCACTACAAAATGTACTCAAATCCAGTAAATAACCGTGGTCTGTCCCGAACAAGATGTATTTATCTATGAAAGCTATAATTTATAATAAAAAAAAGAATTAGCATATATATTTATTACCAGGAGCGTTCATATAATTTGAGTTGGAATGTTTGTAGAATTGGGTAGATCTGTGTTGGTTTTCTCGCGTTTGAAAATCCTCGACTTCTCGTTCACTCGAATTCTTGACTTCTTGCCCTCGAATTGTCGCTCCCCGACTGCCAAATACAAGAATTACTTAACCATATTATACGCCTCTTAAAATTTTGAATTTGTTTTTCAGGAGTCAGCTTTTATATCTTGAAATGTTGTCATATATCGTCGTCACCCCGTCCATCCGTCTTTCTTCCACAATTTCTTGTGGACCCTCTAGGGGCTAAACTTAGCGCCAGATTGACTTGAAATTTTTACACAGTGTATGCAACGAAGAAGCATATCGATTTTCAATGTTTGCTGTGGGAGTTATGTGCTTTGATCGATTTGAAAAATCTTATGGGTCCTCTATAGACTAAAGTGTATATGTGTACGGGATACAGAATCCTGTTGATGGTCAGCGATTTCCGAAAATAACTGGCAGGGTTCTGTCCCTTGATCATATTTAAAAACGTTGTGGACAGTCTAAAGTTATTACCCAAATCGCTTGAAATTTATACATACTGAAATGAAGAAGCTGGTAATTTTATTTGGAGTAACTGCCCTTGATCACTCTTAAAATATTGTGGTAGCTCTAGAGGCTAAAGTTATCATCTGATTGATTTGAAATGTATACCCAGTGTTTATGTTCATGAGACGAAGAATCCCATTGAAATCGAAAAGTTTAAGTTAACATCTGATTACTGGTACATGTTTTGTATAATAAATATGAGCACTATGGGGGACTTGAAACCAACCTAATTTTATTTCTGATCGTTACTTAAACTTTTATTCTTGGGAGGTTTTTAGTGTTTTCTAAATACCATCATATCTACTGAACAACAATTTTTGTTAGATTCAGATGAAAGTTAACAAATCTGTTAAGGGTCAAAAGATCTTAAATGTGTTTGATTTTGATGCGCAACTGAACGACTTTACATTGTTTCTTGCCAGACCCCCCGTTCTGCACCACGGACAAAAAGGTGTGGAGGTGGGGGGCTCGCCGGAAAATCACGATGAACAAAAATTTAAATAAAATTCTATAACATTGGTTTATTCAATGGAGTGTACCGTATCAACTATAAAGATTCTAAAATTCTCAGACCACGGTTACTTTTTTTTTAATTTCCTCCCTCGGATTAAAAAGGTGTGGGGGTGGGGGGCTCGCCGGAAAATCACGATGAACAAAAATTTAAATAAAATTCTATAACATTGGTTTATTCAATGGAGTGTACCGTATCAACTATAAAGATTCTAAAATTCTCAGAACACGGTTACTTTTTTTTTTAAATTCCTCCCTCGGATTATATTCGCACAGTGGACTGTGTATAATAGGTGTTTACTTAATATATTTTCCATTTTTTAATTATTGTATAAATAAAATTAATATTTTTTGATTCATTTTTGTTTTCTTTTTAAAACAATCCGTGATAAAGAAATGGTTTATCCATTACTAGTTTTAATGTCCCCAGCTGGAATGGTCAGGAGTATTTTTTAAGTCCCTGATTAATTCCTATCTTAAAGACATTAAACTCAAACACAGAATGATTCGATATATTTAGGATTGCCCCAACCAAGGCTTTCTTGTACACAACATACAAACTTTATTTTCTAATTAAACGAGGAAAAGACTATCAAACATTTGATAGCAGTGCATGTTTTAATACTTTCTGCCTTTTCCGATTGGATGGTTGATTTTTGGTTTAAAAGCGTAATCTATTATGACGTCAACAAATAAGGCGTAACGTCACAATCAGAATATAACTTGATATCACTATACGCCAGGTAATTACATTGTATTAAGAGGATTAAAGTGTTTTCGATCATTGGATAGTAATTACTATAAAAGCATTGTATCAAGAGGATTAAAGTGTTTTCGATCATTGGATACAGGAGTTGGTCCCAAAGAGTCATACAGGGGAAATGGCTACAATAACTCTATCCAAGCTCCTGGATCTGTCTGTTGGAACACCAGAAGTAGGCGCCGTAAATTTCAACCTATTATATCGACTTCTTCGTGTTATGTTGAAAAAATTAGAACTGGTGGATCATGAAATGCGTATACATGATCTTGATAAAGATTTTACCAGTTCAAAACTTTTGGCTTTGACCACAGATACCACACAGCCTACATCGTCACCATATCATGAACTGGAAAGAAAGGTTTTATGGATCACAAAGCAGATGGAACAACTTTGCGCACTGCCAACGACGATGGAGCTGAGTGAACAAGTTCGGACCCATGAAGATGGTGAAAAGCCCTTGTCAGAAATGTGGCAGTATATCAAATTGAAGAAACACGTGGAAGCCAACGAAGAGGGAATTAACAAGTTATTGACCATTACAGCAGATATAATGAAGAAAATAGATGAATTACTTGCAAGCAACCTATCCGTACTTGAAAAAATTGGGAATGTTAATCTTAAAAATTTATTTGATAAGATCAGTGAAATAGAGCTAGCAATAAGCATGCTAAATGATCGCTATAGTCAAATAAATCAACCTGATTACTTGAGTCAGTTTGTAACGTGGAATATGTTAGAAGATAGTTTGAAAGGTCTCCCATACAACCAGTCGTTTGATCTACGGAAAAATCTATTTGGTTATGGCTCGCAACTTCTTAGAATGAATCCAGAAGAAAGACACAATTTTATAGAAGAGGCAATCACGTCGGACACTCTTCACCAATACTTACCGAGAATAAATGCCGATTTTGTAAAACTGAAACCCGATGATCGTAAGCAAGTTATCGAAGATTCGATTGAGAAGGGTACATTCCAAGGTCTCTTGGCGAAGCATGGGAGTGATCTGCTCAAAATGAACCCGAAAGAGCGCGGAAATTTTATAGAAGAGACCACTTTGTCTGGTATTCTAAGAAATTATCTTCCAGGGTTAGATAACAATTTTGAGACAAAAGATCTGGCAGACAGAATTAAGATTATAGAAGACTCTTTACAAATAGGCAAACTGCATAAATATTTCCCTTCCAAATTTCAAAGTATTCGAGAAATGACAACACTACAGCGGAAATGTTCCATTGATAGTGCTATAAGAAATGGGTGTGTTGAAGATTATTTGCCGGGTGTCGGAATTATCTTTGAAAAAATGGATCACGCGGAACGTGAAAGGTTTGTAGAGAAAGCCGCAAAATCCGGATTGGTAGAAACGTACGAGCGTTTATCTGAAAAACAGCTCCCGCTTATTGCCGAAGACATACAAACAATTATCGAAAAGATCATAATCAAAGAATGTCAGACTTTGATGTATGTTGACAATGGAGCGGTTGAAACAGCGCTCGCAACCGATGTAGACCCAGATAAACCGGAACAATCTGTCTCAAAGAAATCGGAAATCGAAATTACATCACCTTCGTTACAGTCCGAAGCAAAAGTTTCATCAACAGCATCCATTACTCCACCCGAACAAAACCCAGGGTCATATACCAATTCCGCCTCCAGGCCAGGTACAAGTGCTAGTCGCCCATGTTCACGAGTCAGTACTCCAGGAACACTTTTAAGTTCTATGAGCATCGGTCCCTCTGCCGATCTGCTAGATATTTTAGATCGTCTTGGAACACTGTATGATCAGCATAACAAGTTGATAAGGTTTGTGAAATCCATCGATGAACTATTAAAAGAAAAGGCCGAAATGGATCATTTAAACAGATTAAACGAAAGAGTGACAATACTAGAAGAATTGCTAAACCAGAAGTTAGAGAAGTCGGATTTAGATAACCTTGTAGAAAAGGTAATCGGGTTACAAAAAGACATAGGAACCATTCAAGAGTGTGTTAATGCCACAGCAACAAACGAACCCCAAATGACCAAGGTATCTCTTCCTGACATCGACAACCTAGTTGAGAGTAAGACGACGTTTGGTTTAGATTCGTTAGTAGAAGAGAGATTGGCGGATTCACATGCTTTTGTAGACCTGATGGAGCGAGTTTGTGGATTAGAAAATAAGATATCAGTATTCCAAGAATCTCTTAAAGGGGGAGATAGCGCCTATTCTAGTGAACGGCCAGACGTTTTAACTAAGTTTGACAAGGCAAAAGAAGGAACCGTCACTCGTGATATCATGGATATGTTAGCAGATACAGTTCAGTATGATAGCGATGAGCCGGGTAAAGAAAGACTAATACGTTTAGGTTGGATATTGGATGATCAGCTTACTATGGTCCGAGACAAGATATCTGAATTGGATGGAGACTTGAAATTAATGGCAAGAGGTGTCGAACTTGCTATACAACGAGTTAAAGACGTTGATAGTACATCCAAATTGAAACAAAGCACAAGTAATGCTAAGAGTGCTGCTGTTTTAGATGGAGAAACTCTACAGCGTGCGCAAAATGCTATACTGGAATTACAAGGTGAAATTGATTGTCTCCAAGCCACGACACACAACATCATTCGAACCAATACTCTAAGACAACACCAGATTGAAGATATCATGCAAACAAGCAAAGAACTCTACGAGGGAAAAGCCGATAAAGACTATGTCTTAGGCGAATTCGACGTAAAGGCCGATAAACGCCTTTTAGAAAGTAAAGTAAACCATAGTCTATTCAACAAAGCTACAGATGAAATCAACAAGATGATTAAAGAAGTTGAAGTTAAGTTGGAAGGAAACGAGAGCTCCATGAATAATCTTTTCCATCAGTTAACAGAAGATGTGGACGGCAAACTTGATAGGCTAGAAATGGATCCACTAAAGGGTTGGGTGGAATCCCGATTAAAAGAGTTAAACCAGAAGATTGCCAAGTCACAACCCGGTTGGTCTGATAATGATGCAGCAGGTTTACGTAAGCAGTTAATTCAAAGATTCCATTGTCTTTCTTGTGATAAAAGTATCAATATGATGCCGAAAAATCCAATACCTTCTTTGCCATCGCAGGCCAGTATGTCAAACACGCGATCACCAAGGCCATACACTATATTTGAACTAAATCAAATTAGGCAACATTCGTCTAAAGGAATCATTAACCAGAACATTATGAATTTTGAACGCGCTCTACTAGAGAGACAACTTGCCAGAATCCGAAAATCAGACGTACGAGCCTTCATCGTCCACTATTCCAATGAACTGGAATCCTTGGGATTAAGAAAAAGCGTTGCTTTTGCTAGAAACCAAGACGTCAGTGATTACTACGCAAGGACGAGGGCTTGTGGTGGTCTTCATACGATGACTTTCCCACATAGAAGAACTATCCGTATTACTGGACTCAATAGAATAGTAAGTGAGGAGGATTTGAAGCAGAACAATATACCCGAAACTTATCAGCAATGTGGTGAAGAGGCAGACGTCCTGGGAGCAGATGGTATCATCTACAAAGGTCGATGTATGCACTCGAAAAAAAAACATGCGCCTAAAGGTATGAAAGCCATGCGCAAAGATACTTTTCCTTCAAACATACCACCATCAACTTCGCAACCATTTCCGGCATCACCTAGTCGCCCTGTTTCTGCTAAAAACAGATCACAGACACGTCCAGGTTCTGCACGGTCGGACTCGAGGCCTCTCTCCGCCCGCCCAAACACTGCCCATGCTATACGAGAAGATGAGCCCGTAAAAGTAATAACAATTACAACTCAAGAACGGAAAGCTGTTGAAAGAGGAACAGATGGAATCACACAACTGGACCCTTAACTGGTGATCAAATCAGTGTTCGAATACAAGTTTTAATGTTAATGCATCACAAATTAAACAAAATCAAAAAGCGATACCTGGACGTTTTTTTTTTAAATACACTTTGTATTCCATTCTAATTCCCATAGTGCAGTTTTAAGGGGTTCCGTGCACGCGGGTGAGGTAAGGTCCAAGACAAATATTTAGAGTATAAAATGTTAATAGGGAGGACAGCTGCAGTTGAATAGCGCGGTGTCAGTTGGTACCATTTGCCCATAGGCGTGCGAACCTCGGACATTATTAGTTTCGTAACAAAACACAACACAAGGTATATATGGATATAACTACTTCTCTATTATTTAATAACGACGTTTCGTAACACATACAGGTCACGTTCTCATGTTAATGATAAATATCCGTTGTTGTTTATTACAAATTTAACGTCCAAAACATTAGATATTATGGACAGGTTGATTTAATTAAATTATTTACACTTAAAGATACATTATAGGAAATAAGTAAAAGAGCTGACAATTCTCACTATATAATAGTAAAAAACTAGATAATGTAAAGGCAATTTGCTGAAAATTTCAGTCAAATTGATCCACTATGAACCGAGATTTTAGCGATTGAAGATTGGGACTAGTCTCGATCATCATTCCTAAAGTCGGCAAGATAAAAAAAACATAGTCTCGATTATCCACTTTTTAATTTAATTATGAATGGAAGTCGAACAGCAAATCGGAATGTAATCCAATAAACATCGCAGGCTAGCGATGCCATCGAGAGTTGATTATGGTCTGGATAAGTTAATAATTGTGTAATTAATAATTTAGATAACATTTCAGGCCTAATGAAAGACCTAAAATAGGCAGATTTAGCTCTTGCATAATGTATGTATATAATGGGTTGAAAATTGGTAAAAATATACAATACAAACATCCGTGTACATCAAAAGTCTCCTTAAAATTGGTTTACACACAAAATAAAAAGTCCTTGTATATTAAAACGTCAATTTAAAGCACACTTATAAAATCGCTGTCGTGAGAAGAGAGGGGGGGTCATCTTGTCCCTTTATCATAATAAAAACATGTTAAAACAGGGGGTCCAGCTGTCTGATGTTTGGCGCCATCAGTGCGGAAAAAGAATCCGCTAGCGTTATGTGGACCCGTGGTTTATTTAGATATTAAAAATTAAAAACGTCATCGATTAAAAGTTAAAGGCATTCCATTAGGGGTTTTCTTGCGTATGACTTTCCCCAGATAAACGTTACCTGAAAAGAAAAAGAAGAGCCAACAGCAACACAGAACAAGGCAATCAAAACAAATTAAAACATTTATACAAATAACACTTGACATTTAATATTTAGACATAAATAAAATTAATTTGATTGATATGCACTGTCATTGTTAATAATGGTTGTGTAGGTCCCTATACTTTTATTTTGTCATAATTTTCCCCTAGTATATTATTATATTAAATCATGCAGAAGGCTGATTAAAATTAATTCGGCTATTAACGTTTAAGTATCCGACACGCCAAAAGGCTTTTCAATTTTTCAATTACGACGTTAATCCGGTTGATTGGCTGGTGACGTCACAGGGACTACACATAATATACACATTATCTATACCATATATCACTGTCTGTACAATATATCACGGTCTATACACACCACCAATTGACAAGTGTGTATTGACGGCCCAGTTAACACGTGACTGGCCTAATCATAATCACTAAATTATCATCTTGCGTTGTTATAGATAAGACATTTGTGATTGGATTATTTTAGAGTAAATTTAAAATGCCGTAGATCCATTTAAGGTGCCATTGTTTAAATAGGCCACGTGACAAATGAAGATGACCCAAGCAATTAGCGCATTTACAGGTAATTTGGATAACCCCGTAATACTTGATATCCCAAACTATTCTCTATAAGTACAGAAATACAAATGGTGCCTGTCATTTGTCGACATATTCATTATCAATTAGCTATATAATAATAATAATAACCATTTCCATACACAAAGAACAACTTTTATCGTAACTCCATTTGAAATTCACAGCGAATATGGAATTTTTCGATGATTATGCATAACAATAGATCGCCCTCTTATTACCATGTATGGCTCCATGCATACTACGGACGTAGTAACTGAGGTTAAATTTTGGCGCGAAAATTACATGGGATTCATGGACATGAATATCAAATACATGTGATCATACGTGGATTTCCTGATGCCGTTTGCTGAGGGATTAAACTGTCAATGTAATTGTAAAATGCCTTTATTATAAAGAAGTTAAACGATGTTAGACATTAAAACCTAATCTTATCACAACCGTTTATCAATCGAATAATATATATTCAGATTTCTTATCAAGTCAATTAAATGGTGTTTAAACGCCAATCAACAAATAATACGAGGCTATTTTATTACAAAAACGTCGGTGAACAAAGCTAATTGATTACTGGGTAAAAAATAATTATAAACAACTGATGGGTAACACGTAATTATTTTATACAATTAACAAGTGTACGATTCTACGATTAGTTGTCGTGTGGAGAAACGTTTGTAGAAAAGTTCCCCCGTAACTTTTTTCGTTCGTTCGTGGGGTATTACGCACACGTTCCACCTAAATGTCTTTGATCTGACCGGCGTAAAAAAGATAATTACCTAATCAGCATTCTTAATCCCACATCGAGATGTAAATTATCTTATGACCCCATGTCTGTGCAACTTTAGTCGGATTGATTAATGACAGATATTAACGACACTACACTTGCCATATTATTATTAATACGCAAAGATAGTAAGATGACCCTTCTCAACCTGTTATTCGATTTAGATGGTTAGCAACAAAATTTATTTGTACTGTTAATTCTAACGTATATTGGGTTATTTTTTCGTATTTCATTTTTACGGTCTATTTCGGAGTAATGAAGTCAAATCCACATGCAGAAAGAAAGGCGCCGTACGATGAATACAGGAAAGCGAAATACAGTTGTCTACTCTGATAATGGATTGTAATTTACAAATCGTGTTTCAATCATGTATGACTTTTTTGATACATTTTGCATGACCACATCTTTTTACTCCTGTACTGTTTTACTCGGGGAAATTAGAACCACAATACTCTTCTGACGGAAATGCATCTCGAATCGTTTGGGCTGCACACGATGGTAGGGGGACTCTTATCAAAAAGTCACTTAAAATCGCTGTCGTGGGGAGAGAGGGTGGGACATTATGAAACAAATGCTAAATTGGATCTTAAATTAAAATAAATTACAAAACAAATTATTCCGTAGTCAATTGTTTTATTTAATAATGAGATTAAGGAACGAGTCAGGCATTAATGAATACACACGCCGGCTGTATATAGGTAAATAAACATTCCGAATATGCATTCGGTCACGTGACGTCACTGGCGTCTGAGAGGATTAAGAGTGTATTCGATAATTGGCAAAGTCGTTTTACGGGAGGTCTCTTTTTGCGACTTTGAATGAAGATAGCCGAACTAATTTTAATCAGATTGGTGTAAACTTGCCGTAAAGTGGATATAGTAACCATTGGCTATACGCACCGAAAAGTAATGTCGTCCATCTTATGTGCCCTTTATGTTATTTACATCTAATGAGTAATATATAGAAGATAGATAAAAAACACTAAATAATAAAAAGTTCTTGTATATCTAAAGATCATTTTAAAACACGGATTTAAAATCGCTGTAGTGAGAAGAAGGGGCGGGTCATCTTCTCACTTTGTTATAATGAAAACAAGTTAAAACAGGAGATCCAACTGTTTGATGCCATCGCAGTGGATTGACAAAAACCTTTCAGGGAAAACCGAAGTTCTCGCAGTAAAAACCACATAGCTGGATCCGTGGAGTATTTACAAATAAAAATGTCTGTGTGGTTCTTTCCACATAATAAAAGTTAGTTAAAAAGTCCTTTGACACACAGTTCACATATAATAAAAATTAGTTAAAAAGTCCTTTGACATAGATCACAATTTCGGTTTTTAAAATCATTTATTTTCTGCAGTCCATTAAAATTTTTCTTTGTGTGTGACTCTTCCCAGATAAAAGTTACCTGAAAAGTGAAAGAAGGGCCAGCAGCAACATAGAACAGAACAATTTAAACAATTATAAGAATAGTACTGTAAGCCACCCAGCATCCAAGCACTGCCGGCGAGACGTTACGGAAAAAATACAGAGACCTGTATTATCATACGCGGAGGGAGGAAGGGGGGGAGTATTCGAGTCCTTTCTCCATTCCTACGACAGCAATCCTTCCAGTACTATGGCTTTATATTAAGGCGCTCCTGTACGGGGCAGTTCCACCAAGGCCTCAATAGTTAATCGCCTCAATTCCTGATTTCCAATCAAAAAATCAAAAGTACCAATCAGCATGTTACTTTCAAAACATATCGATGTCAAGTCGGCCTTCTCAATGCAAGATATGTAAAGGCACGTACATCCTATATGGATAAAAGTGACTCTGTGAAAGATCTGATATTGGATAATAATCTTGAAGTTCTGGTAATCACTGAAACATGGTTACGAGACGGAGATATCGATAATCTGGTGATAAATAAAGTTACACCTCCAGGTTACAAGTTTGTCCACAATCCCCGGAGAGGGAAATGCGGTGGTAGTGTTGCCGTGGTGTTCAAAATGCTATACTGGAATTACAAGGTGAAATTGATTGTCTCCAAGCCACGACACACAACATCATTCGAACCAATACTCTAAGACAACACCAGATTGAAGATATCATGCAAACAAGCAAAGAACTCTACGAGGGAAAAGCCGATAAAGACTATGTCTTAGGCGAATTCGACGTAAAGGCCGATAAACGCCTTTTAGAAAGTAAAGTAAACCATAGTCTATTCAACAAAGCTACAGATGAAATCAACAAGATGATTAAAGAAGTTGAAGTTAAGTTGGAAGGAAACGAGAGCTCCATGAATAATCTTTTCCATCAGTTAACAGAAGATGTGGACGGCAAACTTGATAGGCTAGAAATGGATCCACTAAAGGGTTGGGTGGAATCCCGATTAAAAGAGTTAAACCAGAAGATTGCCAAGTCACAACCCGGTTGGTCTGATAATGATGCAGCAGGTTTACGTAAGCAGTTAATTCAAAGATTCCATTGTCTTTCTTGTGATAAAAGTATCAATATGATGCCGAAAAATCCAATACCTTCTTTGCCATCGCAGGCCAGTATGTCAAACACGCGATCACCAAGGCCATACACTATATTTGAACTAAATCAAATTAGGCAACATTCGTCTAAAGGAATCATTAACCAGAACATTATGAATTTTGAACGCGCTCTACTAGAGAGACAACTTGCCAGAATCCGAAAATCAGACGTACGAGCCTTCATCGTCCACTATTCCAATGAACTGGAATCCTTGGGATTAAGAAAAAGCGTTGCTTTTGCTAGAAACCAAGACGTCAGTGATTACTACGCAAGGACGAGGGCTTGTGGTGGTCTTCATACGATGACTTTCCCACATAGAAGAACTATCCGTATTACTGGACTCAATAGAATAGTAAGTGAGGAGGATTTGAAGCAGAACAATATACCCGAAACTTATCAGCAATGTGGTGAAGAGGCAGACGTCCTGGGAGCAGATGGTATCATCTACAAAGGTCGATGTATGCACTCGAAAAAAAAACATGCGCCTAAAGGTATGAAAGCCATGCGCAAAGATACTTTTCCTTCAAACATACCACCATCAACTTCGCAACCATTTCCGGCATCACCTAGTCGCCCTGTTTCTGCTAAAAACAGATCACAGACACGTCCAGGTTCTGCACGGTCGGACTCGAGGCCTCTCTCCGCCCGCCCAAACACTGCCCATGCTATACGAGAAGATGAGCCCGTAAAAGTAATAACAATTACAACTCAAGAACGGAAAGCTGTTGAAAGAGGAACAGATGGAATCACACAACTGGACCCTTAACTGGTGATCAAATCAGTGTTCGAATACAAGTTTTAATGTTAATGCATCACAAATTAAACAAAATCAAAAAGCGATACCTGGACGTTTTTTTTTTAAATACACTTTGTATTCCATTCTAATTCCCATAGTGCAGTTTTAAGGGGTTCCGTGCACGCGGGTGAGGTAAGGTCCAAGACAAATATTTAGAGTATAAAATGTTAATAGGGAGGACAGCTGCAGTTGAATAGCGCGGTGTCAGTTGGTACCATTTGCCCATAGGCGTGCGAACCTCGGACATTATTAGTTTCGTAACAAAACACAACACAAGGTATATATGGATATAACTACTTCTCTATTATTTAATAACGACGTTTCGTAACACATACAGGTCACGTTCTCATGTTAATGATAAATATCCGTTGTTGTTTATTACAAATTTAACGTCCAAAACATTAGATATTATGGACAGGTTGATTTAATTAAATTATTTACACTTAAAGATACATTATAGGAAATAAGTAAAAGAGCTGACAATTCTCACTATATAATAGTAAAAAACTAGATAATGTAAAGGCAATTTGCTGAAAATTTCAGTCAAATTGATCCACTATGAACCGAGATTTTAGCGATTGAAGATTGGGACTAGTCTCGATCATCATTCCTAAAGTCGGCAAGATAAAAAAAAACATAGTCTCGATTATCCACTTTTTAATTTAATTATGAATGGAAGTCGAACAGCAAATCGGAATGTAATCCAATAAACATCGCAGGCTAGCGATGCCATCGAGAGTTGATTATGGTCTGGATAAGTTAATAATTGTGTAATTAATAATTTAGATAACATTTCAGGCCTAATGAAAGACCTAAAATAGGCAGATTTAGCTCTTGCATAATGTATGTATATAATGGGTTGAAAATTGGTAAAAATATACAATACAAACATCCGTGTACATCAAAAGTCTCCTTAAAATTGGTTTACACACAAAATAAAAAGTCCTTGTATATTAAAACGTCAATTTAAAGCACACTTATAAAATCGCTGTCGTGAGAAGAGAGGGGGGGTCATCTTGTCCCTTTATCATAATAAAAACATGTTAAAACAGGGGGTCCAGCTGTCTGATGTTTGGCGCCATCAGTGCGGAAAAAGAATCCGCTAGCGTTATGTGGACCCGTGGTTTATTTAGATATTAAAAATTAAAAACGTCATCGATTAAAAGTTAAAGGCATTCCATTAGGGGTTTTCTTGCGTATGACTTTCCCCAGATAAACGTTACCTGAAAAGAAAAAGAAGAGCCAACAGCAACACAGAACAAGGCAATCAAAACAAATTAAAACATTTATACAAATAACACTTGACATTTAATATTTAGACATAAATAAAATTAATTTGATTGATATGCACTGTCATTGTTAATAATGGTTGTGTAGGTCCCTATACTTTTATTTTGTCATAATTTTCCCCTAGTATATTATTATATTAAATCATGCAGAAGGCTGATTAAAATTAATTCGGCTATTAACGTTTAAGTATCCGACACGCCAAAAGGCTTTTCAATTTTTCAATTACGACGTTAATCCGGTTGATTGGCTGGTGACGTCACAGGGACTACACATAATATACACATTATCTATACCATATATCACTGTCTGTACAATATATCACGGTCTATACACACCACCAATTGACAAGTGTGTATTGACGGCCCAGTTAACACGTGACTGGCCTAATCATAATCACTAAATTATCATCTTGCGTTGTTATAGATAAGACATTTGTGATTGGATTATTTTAGAGTAAATTTAAAATGCCGTAGATCCATTTAAGGTGCCATTGTTTAAATAGGCCACGTGACAAATGAAGATGACCCAAGCAATTAGCGCATTTACAGGTAATTTGGATAACCCCGTAATACTTGATATCCCAAACTATTCTCTATAAGTACAGAAATACAAATGGTGCCTGTCATTTGTCGACATATTCATTATCAATTAGCTATATAATAATAATAATAACCATTTCCATACACAAAGAACAACTTTTATCGTAACTCCATTTGAAATTCACAGCGAATATGGAATTTTTCGATGATTATGCATAACAATAGATCGCCCTCTTATTACCATGTATGGCTCCATGCATACTACGGACGTAGTAACTGAGGTTAAATTTTGGCGCGAAAATTACATGGGATTCATGGACATGAATATCAAATACATGTGATCATACGTGGATTTCCTGATGCCGTTTGCTGAGGGATTAAACTGTCAATGTAATTGTAAAATGCCTTTATTATAAAGAAGTTAAACGATGTTAGACATTAAAACCTAATCTTATCACAACCGTTTATCAATCGAATAATATATATTCAGATTTCTTATCAAGTCAATTAAATGGTGTTTAAACGCCAATCAACAAATAATACGAGGCTATTTTATTACAAAAACGTCGGTGAACAAAGCTAATTGATTACTGGGTAAAAAATAATTATAAACAACTGATGGGTAACACGTAATTATTTTATACAATTAACAAGTGTACGATTCTACGATTAGTTGTCGTGTGGAGAAACGTTTGTAGAAAAGTTCCCCCGTAACTTTTTTCGTTCGTTCGTGGGGTATTACGCACACGTTCCACCTAAATGTCTTTGATCTGACCGGCGTAAAAAAGATAATTACCTAATCAGCATTCTTAATCCCACATCGAGATGTAAATTATCTTATGACCCCATGTCTGTGCAACTTTAGTCGGATTGATTAATGACAGATATTAACGACACTACACTTGCCATATTATTATTAATACGCAAAGATAGTAAGATGACCCTTCTCAACCTGTTATTCGATTTAGATGGTTAGCAACAAAATTTATTTGTACTGTTAATTCTAACGTATATTGGGTTATTTTTTCGTATTTCATTTTTACGGTCTATTTCGGAGTAATGAAGTCAAATCCACATGCAGAAAGAAAGGCGCCGTACGATGAATACAGGAAAGCGAAATACAGTTGTCTACTCTGATAATGGATTGTAATTTACAAATCGTGTTTCAATCATGTATGACTTTTATGATACATTTTGGATGACCACATCTTTTTACTCCTGTACTGTTTTACTCGGGGAAATTAGAACCACAATACTCTTCTGACGGAAATGCATCTCGAATCGTTTGGGCTGCACACGATGGTAGGGGGACTCTTATCAAAAAGTCACTTAAAATCGCTGTCGTGGGGAGAGAGGGTGGGACATTATGAAACAAATGCTAAATTGGATCTTAAATTAAAATAAATTACAAAACAAATTATTCCGTAGTCAATTGTTTTATTTAATAATGAGATTAAGGAACGAGTCAGGCATTAATGAATACACACGCCGGCTGTATATAGGTAAATAAACATTCCGAATATGCATTCGGTCACGTGACGTCACTGGCGTCTGAGAGGATTAAGAGTGTATTCGATAATTGGCAAAGTCGTTTTACGGGAGGTCTCTTTTTGCGACTTTGAATGAAGATAGCCGAACTAATTTTAATCAGATTGGTGTAAACTTGCCGTAAAGTGGATATAGTAACCATTGGCTATACGCACCGAAAAGTAATGTCGTCCATCTTATGTGCCCTTTATGTTATTTACATCTAATGAGTAATATATAGAAGATAGATAAAAAACACTAAATAATAAAAAGTTCTTGTATATCTAAAGATCATTTTAAAACACGGATTTAAAATCGCTGTAGTGAGAAGAAGGGGCGGGTCATCTTCTCACTTTGTTATAATGAAAACAAGTTAAAACAGGAGATCCAACTGTTTGATGCCATCGCAGTGGATTGACAAAAACCTTTCAGGGAAAACCGAAGTTCTCGCAGTAAAAACCACATAGCTGGATCCGTGGAGTATTTACAAATAAAAATGTCTGTGTGGTTCTTTCCACATAATAAAAGTTAGTTAAAAAGTCCTTTGACACACAGTTCACATATAATAAAAATTAGTTAAAAAGTCCTTTGACATAGATCACAATTTCGGTTTTTAAAATCATTTATTTTCTGCAGTCCATTAAAATTTTTCTTTGTGTGTGACTCTTCCCAGATAAAAGTTACCTGAAAAGTGAAAGAAGGGCCAGCAGCAACATAGAACAGAACAATTTAAACAATTATAAGAATAGTACTGTAAGCCACCCAGCATCCAAGCACTGCCGGCGAGACGTTACGGAAAAAATACAGAGACCTGTATTATCATACGCGGAGGGAGGAAGGGGGGGAGTATTCGAGTCCTTTCTCCATTCCTACGACAGCAATCCTTCCAGTACTATGGCTTTATATTAAGGCGCTCCTGTACGGGGCAGTTCCACCAAGGCCTCAATAGTTAATCGCCTCAATTCCTGATTTCCAATCAAAAAATCAAAAGTACCAATCAGCATGTTACTTTCAAAACATATCGATGTCAAGTCGGCCTTCTCAATGCAAGATATGTAAAGGCACGTACATCCTATATGGATAAAAGTGACTCTGTGAAAGATCTGATATTGGATAATAATCTTGAAGTTCTGGTAATCACTGAAACATGGTTACGAGACGGAGATATCGATAATCTGGTGATAAATAAAGTTACACCTCCAGGTTACAAGTTTGTCCACAATCCCCGGAGAGGGAAATGCGGTGGTAGTGTTGCCGTGGTGTTCAAAGAGACCTTTAAATGTACCAAAGTAAACACTAGAAAAAAACAAAAATACTTTCGAGGAACTGTTGGTTAAGTTAAAATTCAAAGCCCAGACGTTAATCCTTTGTGGCATCTATAGGCCACCAGGCAGGATAGTTCTTCACAAGGACTCTGAATCAGAGACTGTCTATGATGAATTCTCGGGTCTGCTTGAACTTCTGAATACACATCAAGGAGAATTACTCGTTTGTGGAGACTTCAATATACATATGGAAGATAGCAACAGAACCGATACACATCAATTTTGTAGCCTCTTGGATTCGTTTAATCTGAAACAGCATGTACATGGCCCGACTCACCATCGTGGTCATACGCTTGACCTTGTAATTACAAGGAATGATGATTTGGATATCAGAAATGTACGCATGGATCAATCAGTGACATCTGATCATTATGCAGTTCTTATGTCAACCAGTTTTGAGAAGCCGGCGAGACCCAGGAAGAATATATCCTTCCGCAGATGGAAAAAGATTGACAAGAAGAACTTTGATGACTACACAGATAAGGGTGTAGTTGAATGTTGTAACCATTACGATTCTCAAACACGCTCTGTTGTAGATCAGCACGTGCCTCTACTCACCAAAATGGTGACAGTACTCACAAGAGAAGGCTGTTACAACGAAAGTATCCGGGAGGCAAAGCGTCAACGACGGAAACTTGAACGAAAAATAATGACTAGTAATTTGGCAGTTGATAAACAGATTCATTCGTCAGCTAGAAACTCAGTCACAGCTTTGGTCCAGGAATCAAAACGAGAGTATTTTGTTAATGCCATCGACGGTGCTAAAGACCAAAAGAAAGTGTACCAGATCACAAATAGACTCCTGTTTAAAAACAAGTCGCAAGTTCTTCCCAGTAGCAAGTCAAATGATGAAATAGCAAACGACTTTTCGCTGTTCTTTCAAGACAAGATACAGACAATTCGTTCAAGTCTTGTAGCAACTGGACCGGCAGATACAACACCGAGTTCGTTTCATATTCCGTGCCAATCTCTGTCAGGTTTTGAACTTACGACCGAACAGGAAATTAGACTGATTATTCAGAAATCACCGACCAAGTCTTGCAGTCTCGATCCACTACCAACATGGTTGCTGAAAGAATTTCTTGACAAAACTGTGCCCATAATCACTCACATTGTAAACTAATCCCTGGAGGAGTCTAAAGTTCCTGAAAGCATGAAGTATGCCCTAGTAACACCATTGATAAAAAGTCAAATCTAGATGCAGGTCTCCGCAACTACAGACCGGTTTCCAATTTGAATTTTGTTTCCAAAGTTTTAGAGCGAGTTGTGGTAGCCAGACTGAACCCTCATATTATGGCCACAGGCAATGCTGAAGAAATGCAGTCAGCGTACAGAAGCCGATACAGCACCGAAACTGCGCTTTTCAGAGTACGGAATGACATTTTGGAAGCTGTTGACATCAGTGGAGCTGCCATTCTAGTATTCTTAGATCTATCGGCAGCTTTCGACACCATTGATCAGGCAATCTTGCTGCAGACTCTAAACCAGAGATTTGGTGTCACTGATTCCGCCTGTGACTGGCTTCAGTCTTACCTAACAGGGCGAATGCAGGCCGTGAAGACAAAGTACGGCGTGTCCGCAAAAGTTGAACTCTCTTATGGAGTTCCTCAGGGATCCGTCCTTGGGCCGGTCTTGTTCACCATATACACCCCACCATAGCCCGACGTCATGGTTTATCAAGTCACCTCTACGCAGACGATACACAGCTATATCTAGCGTTCAAACCCACCTGCCAGAGATCTATTGACTCGGCCTTCACTCTGATGTCACTTTGTGCAGATGATATTAAACAGTGGATGTCTTGCAATTTTCTGAAGCTAAACAGTGACAAAACAGAACTAATAGTCTTCAGTTCTAAATCTGTACGACGGAGTTTGAATCTTCCGCCTTTCCAAATTGGAAGCCATAGCATAGAACCGGCACAGGAGGCGAGGAACCTTGGATTTGTGTATCAGTCTACTCTGTCAGCTGAATCACACATCAACAAAATATTCGCAATATTAGTCAGATTAGGAATTTCATCAATACCAAAGCTGCTGTCTCCCTGGTCCAGTCATGTGTACTGTCCCATTTAGACTATTGCAATGCCCTGCTTTACGGTGTACCAAAGACTCTCATCACCAAGCTGCAGAAGGTCCAAAATTCAGCAGCCAGAGTAGCGACAAGGACAAGGAAACACCAGTCTACATTGGCTGAAGGTGGAACAACGAATCAAGTATAAGCTACTGATGCATGTATTCAAATCCAAGCACAAACTTGCCCCGCCTTATCTTCAGGAACTAATCCAGGATCATCAGCCAGTCAGAACACTCAGATCAGCGAACAAATATCTACTTGACCCTCCATCCTCAAGGTCGGCAACATATGGCGACCGTAGATTTGCAGCAGCTGGTCCAGCCCTATGGAACTCACTGCCAGACAACATCAGATCCATTCCATCTCTGGATGACTTCAAGAGTGCAATAAAGACACACTTGTTCAAAGAGGCATATCCATAGACAATCCCTGTATTGTATATATCCATGTGTTGTCATACTCCAGCAGCGCCTTTGAGCAGTTGTACTCAACTGGTAAAGGCGCTATAGAAATACATAGTTATTATTATTATTATTATTTAGGTTCTCCATGCCTTCTCCTTTGTCACTGTCCTGTTAGACAAGCTCTCCATCACTCCGCCGTTGCTGCTCCAGGAATGCTGATGCCATTCCTCCCGTGAACAGGTAATTATGCGCTAGGAATATCTACGGTAGTTTGGGACCTTAAAGCGTGTAAAGGGGCATAACTCCATTGGGCATATCGCAGCCCGTTAACTAATAACCAAGTAACGCCGTATTTACCAAGGCCAATAAAGTTATTTATTCGATTAAGGCAACGGCGAATATGATTACTGTATGCAATATGTATTAAAATAAATATTTACAATTCATTGGAAAAACAATATTGAAAGCATAGCTTTCAATGTCCGACGTGGAGGGAGATAGCATATAGTCTAGAGCCAATTCCTTAAAGCGGCGAATAGTAGAAGCCGTTAAGCGCTTGAAAAACATCATGAAATATCGTATAATATTATAGGAATGAAAATGTACCGATCATGTTTTATAATAAATCCTCACCTAGTAAAACAATAGGTGCTACTACTGTTAGAATAGTTTGAAATATAAAGTGATTGATCTTAAGAATACTTGAAAGGCTCCAGGGTAGAGATGCTGCTTGACCGAAGTCGATTGCTATCTGCCATCACGTCGTTAACAGGGTCAAGGTTTCTAGTGGAAATGCTGCAGGGAGTTGGGGAACGTAAATAAGGTGGTCTGGAACCGAATTTGGGCACTAAAGGGGGATAACTTCTCTTGGGCTTGATATTTTTATTTACAGGAAAACCGTACCAATCCAGAAGTTCCTGAATCGTGTATGGCATACACCAAGTATCCTGATATATTCACAACTGTAAAAAACTAAGTACCGGTACTAATAATTATTTTCAACGTGGAACTAGTAAAACTTTTAACTTCAATGTACATTTTTAAATATTAAATATTAATTATTAATTATTAAATATTGTATTAATTATTATATATATTTATGTAATAAAGTTTGTGTTGTTCTTAATTGAAGTACTCTGTTATCTGTTCGTGTCTGGGTTATTGCAGGGGGTCTTCACCTACAGCTACAGAACGCCTGCAAATACGTTGGTTGCCAGCCGGAGGGTTGGTCACGCAACAATTGGTGTCAGAAGTGGGATCTAGTGAAGTTCTGTAGTTGGTGAACCCTTTTTCAGACATGAGCGATTCCGAGATCACATTCAAAGAGCAATCTGTGCCTTGTCATCAGAATTTAAATGATAGTATTGGATTCCCTCAAGAGGTTCTAGTATGGAAGACCCTGACTTCACCGTTTTGGATGAGACTGTTGATGACACTTTGTCCGTAGCTGATGTCCTCCAATCTGTGGAGAAACGAATAGAAGCTTCAATTTTTAGAAGTCAGGAAAACCTAAAAAAGAGAATAATAAATATGACTGAAAATATCTTGACAAATTATAACTCTATATCACATATGACCTTAGAAATTGAAAAGGTTAGTTCTGAGGTGAAGGAATTGAAAACCTCACGACAAACATGTGGTGTTCCAATACACACCCTACAAAATCCATGCAATGAGTTAACTACAGATATAAACAATAGTTATGGTAGAACCCCGGCTACAAGGTTAGGGACACAACCTGGTAGTAGTAGTTTGACATGTCAAGATGAACCCACACAGGGGTTTTATCATTCAAGGGAGACTACTCCAAATAATCATATGCCTGCTCCCACCAAAATGCGACCACCAAGTTACAATGGAAGTGAGGAGCTTGAAGATTATCTTGCTCAGTTTGGAGTCCTATCAGAATTAAATCGCTGGGATTATAAGACTAAGTCCCTATACCTAGCCAGTAGCCTTGAAGGAAGTGCAAGGTCCCTGCTAAATGAATTATCCCATGAGCAAAGGAGGGACTGTGATAATCTTGTTCAGATATTAAACCTTAGATTTGGCTCAACCAGTAGGTCTGAAATATTTAAGGCCACCCTTCAGACTAAAACCAAGCAGAGAAATGAAAGTATATCTGATCTTGCTCAGTCGATCAAGAAGCTTTCAAGACAAGCATACCCGGAAGCACCTACCAACGTGGTGTCAACCCTCGCAAGAGATTATTTTATAGATGCTTTACCAGATACCGATATGAGGCTTCGACTTCGTGAAGCCAGAGTCAAGGATATAGGTGAAGCTGAGCTGTTAGCTGTACAGCTGGAGGCTTTTAGAATGGCAGACCGACAGAAGACACATCGGGTCCATGCAGTCGGACAATCTAAGGAACAAAACCTGTCTGGAGATTGTCATGAACAGACAAAATTCAATGAAGCTGTCCAGGGTTTGCGACAGGATATGCAGCTTCTAACAAAGCATCTGCAGCGATTGTCCGCTTCTCACTTACAATCTGAAAGAAACAGAATAAATGATTACCAAAATAAGTCATATCAAAAAGGCGATGCTTACAATAACAATAGGAAAGAATGGCCTTGGAGAGGGAATCAGAAACCAAACCATTCTCAAGATTGGCGCCAAAATATAGATATAAAGCCGGGAAACGGGCAGACGTCGAGTTCGGAGGCCAGACCTCGACGAGAACAGAGACCAACCAGGTTTCAAAAAGGGCCTCAAAATATGGAGATGAGGGACTGTTTGTGCCAACACTAATTGCGGGTCTACCTGTCACAATGCTAGTGGACACTGGGGCCAATATTACAGTTTTAAATAGAGAAGTTGTCTCAAAAGTCCTCGTTTATAAAACTTTTGCCAGTTAAGTTGAGCATGGTAACTGCGACTGGAGAGTTGTCTCCCTTTCATGGAAAAACACACTTGAAAATAAAATTAGGGAAAAGTAATGTCACTCAAGAAGTTTATGTTACTGACATTCAAAACGATGGCATTTTGGGTTTAGATTTTTAAACAAATATAGGAGGAGATGTAATTCTTAGTAAGAATTGTTTAAATGTTAAAGGAGATGAAATTTCTTGTTACCTCTTCTTAGCTGATGCAGAGCCAAAAGTGTGCAGGCTTGCTGTAACTGAAGACACAGTTGTTCCCCCTGAAACAGAAATTATTGTTTCAGGAAAATTCATTGATCCTGTGATTAATATGAAAAAAGGAATTATAGAACCTTTGCCAGGGTTTACTAAAAAGACAGGACTCTTACTAGCTAAATGCTTTGTGAATACCAGGGGAGGGAATATTCCTCTACGTATTAATAATGTAACAGACCAACCTTGTAAGATTTATAAGAACACAGTAGCGGTTCAATGTGAAGTTGCTGAGGATATTATTAAAGTTGAACAGGATAATTCTGTTCAACCAGTATACAATGTGACTAAAACTCACATATTACCTGATCATGTCAGGGAAGTGCTCGATAGGAGTATACCAAATCTGAATGATTCTGAAAAAGAAAAATTAAAGAATCTATGATTCCTTAGATATAGGGGAGACAAATCTTGTGGAACATAAAATAAACACAGGTAATGCCATGCCTATAAAGCAGCCGCCCAGACGTATATCACTGGCTAAACTTCAGGAAGCCAGGGAAGAAATAGAAAAATGGCCAAACAGGGGATCATCTCTCCCTCGATCAGTCCTTGGTCATCCCCGGTGGTTTTAGTAAAGAAGAAGGATAACAGTACTAGATTTTGTGTTGATTACTGCAAGCTTAATGATGTGACTATTAAAGACTCCCACCCCCTTCCCAGGGTAGACGATATCTTGGATGCACTGTCTGGAGCAAAACTGTTTTCCACACTTGATCTTAAAAGTGGATACCGCCAAGTAAAATTAGCTGAGAGTGACAAAGAGAAATCAGCCTTTTCAGTATATGGTAGTGGCTTGTGGGAGTTCAATGTAATGAGTTTTCGGCTTTGTAGTGCCCATGGCAGTTTTGAAAGATTGATGGAGAGGTTGCTAAAAGGCTTATCCTGGCAAATCTGTTTGGTCTACCTTGGTGACATAATAGTGTATTCGAAGTCGTTCGAACAACACCTTGCAAATTTTACTAAGGTTTTTGAGTGCCTGAAGCAGGCTAACCTAAAGCTAAATCCAAAAAAATGTCATCTAATGAAAGAAAAAGTTACCTACCTTGGGCACATTGTTAGTGCAGAAGGTATTGCTACTGATCCTGCCAAAATCGAGGCTGTGAAAAACTGGCCAGTGCCTGTAAATGTAAAACAAATTAGAAGCTTTCTGGGACTTTGCTCCTATTACAGGAGATTTGTTAAGGGGTTTGCTGATATAGCAAGGCCATTACATAAGCTCACAGAGAAAACAAGGCCATTTAAGTGGACCGAGGAGTGTCATAAAGCCTTTTAAAGACTGCGGACGGCACTTACGGAGTCGCCAGTTCTCGCCTATCCGAATGACAATGACAGTTACATAGTAGATTGTGATGCTAGCAATGAAGGATTGGGATCTGTACTCTCCCAGGTGCAAGATGGTACAGAAAGAGTTAATTTGTTTTTACAGCAAAGCTTTCTCTTCAGCCGAAAGAAAGTATTGTGTATTTGTATGGAGCGTTGAGATGGTTGTTTAATTTCAAAAATCTCGAAGGGCAGATAGCTAGGTGGTTCGAAACCTTAGCTGCCTAAGAAAGTATTGTGTATTTGTATGGAGCGTTGAGATGGTTGTTTAATTTCAAAAATCTCGAAGGGCAGATAGCTAGGTGGTTCGAAACCTTAGCTGCCTATGATTTTGAAATTGAGCACCGTCCTGGACGAATCCACTCTAATGCTGATGCACTGTCAAGGCGACCATGCTTCGAACGTAACTGTTCGAAATGCTCTTCTGCTGAAGAGAGATATGGGGAATTTAGTCATGTTCGAAATGACGTAACCCCAATGGAAGATGTTGCACCAAAGCTGGTGCGAGCCAATAATGAAAATGTAAAACCTACCACTGACATAGAGGGAGATCCGATTCCACCTATATCATTCCGGATGGTTGGCATTGGCACTGCAGATATCACTAATATGCCTTCTACCTCTTATCAACAGGACCATTCATCTGGTTTTGAGGATCCTCTGAATAATGTTGATATTTCTACTAAACAGAGAGAAGATAATACTTTAGCCCAGGTCATTGACTGGAAGGAAATAAATAGAAAACCTCAATGGGAGGAAATTGCTAATAAAGATATATCTGTTAAATACTATTGGCACCGTTTTGAGTCTTTTGTTTTACGGGGGGGGGATGTTATATCGATCTTGGGAAAAAGAAACAGGAGATTTGACGTATCTCCTTGTTTTACCTTCTTGCTTAAAGAAATTAGCCTTTGAACACTTACATGACTCGCCGACTGGTGGGCATTTAGGGGTCAAGAAAACCTTGTACAAATTGAGATCTCGCTTTTCGTGGTATGGCATGAGATCTGACTAAAATATTGGGTAAATTGCTGTGACATTTGTTCGTCAAGGAAAAGACCGACGCATAAACCTAAGGCCCCTCTGAAATTATATTGTGTAGGAGCTCCCGTGGAAAGAATTGCCATGGATATCATGGGACCTATGCCACTGACCCTCAATGGAAATAAATATGTCCTAGTTGTGGGCGATTATTTCACTAAGTACACAGATGCGTATCCTATCAAAGATACAACTGCTCCCACAGTTGCTGATACTCTGATAGAAAGATTTGTAACTCATTTCGGTGTGCCTCTTTCACTGCACACCGATCAAGTGTCGAACTTTGGCTCCAAGGTATTTGCCTCTATGTGACAAACCTTGGGAATTCACAAGACTCGAACTACCCCTTTTCGCCCACAATCTGACGGAATGATTGAGAGGGCGAACCAAACAATAAAAAATATGCTTAGCGCCTTTGTAAATGAAAACCAAAATGATTGGGATAAATACTTACCTATGATAATGATGGCTTATCGTTCATCCGTTCATGAATCAACTAGAGTAACCCCAAATAAAATGATGTATGGAAGAGAGATAACTCTTCCTGTTGATTTGGTTTTTGGCACACCTGAAATGATAAATATAGAAAATTATTCATTAGATTTTAATTATGCATATGAATTACAACAAAAAATGTATAGAAGGCCGACTAAATACGGCCGGAGCAAGTATGAAAAGAAACTAGAATAAAAGGTTAGCTCGTAATAGTTATGAGGTTGGAACTCCAGTATGGGTTCACAACCCCAAGCCGAGGACGGGTTTAAATAGAAAACTGCAAATGGATTGGCAAGGCCCATATATTGTCACCCAGATAATTAATAGCGTAATTTACCGGGTACAAGAATCTCCCCGAGCTAAACCCAAAATATTTCATCATGACAAACTAAAACCATATGAGGGTAACTCTCCCCCAACATGGCACAGAGTGTAATATCAGTAATTTAATTGATTGTAGGCCTATAAAGTCGAAGTATTAATTATTATTAATTGACAACTTTCACTTACCTGTATGTTTTCACTCGCCTGTATATATACTTGATTTTTATATTTCATGTTACTTTCTGGGTCACTACTTACACCAGCCGCATATGTGAAAACTGCTACTGTCTGATTCATCGTAAATTTTAAACGGATTTCTTCGATTATGAACAAACTACTTAACGTTGGTTATTATAAACTTACCTGTGTGTTTGTAATGAACTCCCGTTCGATAAAATCCATTGCACAACTAATTATCACAACGATGAAAACAAGTTCTCTCTTGAAAAATTGAAATATCACAAACTTTTCCCAGAGAAAAATACCAATATGGAAGATGGTTACGTCACTCTGCGGAAGATATCATTTCGTATTAGGGGTGACAGCATAGGAAATTCAAGTACAATTACGACAAGAATCCATGACCACTCGGACCAAAGACCACTCGGTTCAAGACCAGTCGGACCAACTGATAGACCACTCAGCCCAAACAAATAGACTACTCGGACCATACAAAAAGACTATTCGGACCCAACAGAAAGACCACTCGGACCAATAATAAAATGTTGTTTTAATAAATTGATAATTGCGTTTGTTTTAATATAATTACTCGAACCAATAATAAAGTGTTATTTTAATAAATTGATAATTGTGTTTATTTTAATATGACTACTCGAACCAATAATAAAGTGTTATTTGAATAAATTGATAATTGTGTGTGTTTTAATATGACTACTCGAACTAATAATAACGTGTTGTTTGAATAAATTGATAATTGTATTCCAAATCGCAAAATATCGAGAACCACACTTGTAGTCACGTTTAAAAAGGGGCATATAAACGTCCGGTCTTCGTATTATTATGTGCTGTTTATATTAACGCATCAAGGGCGGATAACTTGAAAACGTGTCTCCACCCCCCACCCCCCATATATAGTAACCCAGGGGTTAGTGGGGTAGAACGGAATGAAACCACTGGGGATACCGCGAATGTGGAAAAAGTAAAATTAGGCTATCAGACAAGAACAGTATACCCGTATATGTAGAAACTGTCAAAAGTCTGGACATACCGAGTCTCATTGCAAGAGTAAAGAAAAATTAGATTGATATTTTTTTTTTGGCACCATTATTAATTAATTTTAAAACTAATCGTTGATTTATTTACCGTACACAAAATTGAACCAAACAACTCTAAATATAAGAATTCCGTATAAGAATTATTTGCTTCTTTGTATTGTGATTTAATAATAAATAAATAGCATATTGTCTAGCCTTATAATATAATTTAATTGGTCCGACTGGTCTTATTTTGGTCCGACTGGTCTTAGTCCGAGTAGTCTTTGGTCCGAGTGGTCTGGATACCTACGACAATTGGCATTGAGTTTGAGCGTTCGCACACATAACTACCCGCATTCCTGTATTTAGTTACCGTCTTTTACATTCTAGTAAAATCTCTGCAAATTTTATAGCTTTACTTTTTGAAATATTTTGTTCTAATTATTTGATTAGCGACTCGGATGGGATTATTTACTTTTGAACACGCATGCCGCACAAACACAACTATACATTCGTTTTACGGGCTTTATCACACTTCGGTCAAAACTGTCGAATCGAGAATTAATGTTCCGCTTCTTACGGGGTCATACGGGCTTAGTAGCATTATATACCCACCCGGGCACCCAATACGGCAATAGACACGCTGAGGGCTGCCGCAACACGCTTAAAGATGTTACTGAAGCGGTTATTATTCGATCGAAAGAATGCGTATAAAATTAAAAATACACTCAGAGAATTCGGAGGTAAGCTTCATGATCCTTGTTGAATTATTTATAACATAAAGAAGATAGGATATTTATAGTTTATTCATGACTTTATTTTTACGAGTATCCGTGCAATCAGTGATATTTTAATTGTGAAGAAAATTTGATAGACTGGCGATCAATGGTTTCCATATAAATCTCCTATGTAATTGCCTTCAATTGATATCTTTCGTCGCCCAAACCCATATACGATCAAAATGATCGCGCTGTCAAACTATCTTTCAATGTTAACAAACCCCCGCAACAGGTATATTGGATTCGACCATTACGTCACGAAGACATTGTTGACATCGACTCTGTCGAAATTACAAGTAAATTTTCAAATTTTTCAAGAGAGAAATTGTTCTCATCGTTGTGATAATTAGTTGTGCAATGGATTTTATCGAACGGGAGTTCATTACAAACACACAGGTAAGTTTATAATAACCAAAGTTAAGTAGTTTGTTCATAATCGAAGAAATCCGTTTAAAATTTACGATGAATCAGACAGTCTGATTCATCGTAAATTTTAAACGGATTTCTTCGATTATGAACAAACTACTTAACTTTGGTTATTATAAACTTACCTGTGTGTTTGTAATGAACTCCCGTTCGATAAAATCCATTGCACAACTAATTATCACAACGATGAGAACAATTTCTCTCTTGAAAAATTTGAAAATTTACTTGTAATTTCGACAGAGGCGATGTCAACAATGTCTTCGTGACGTATTGGTCGAATCCAATATACCTGTTGCGGGGGTTGGTTAACATTGAAAGATAGTTTGACAGCGCGATCATTTTGATCGTATATGGGTTTGGGCGACGAAAAATATCAATTGAAGGCAATTACATAGGAGATTTATATGGAAACCATTGATCGCCAGTCTATCAAATTTTCTTCACAATTAAAATATCACTGATTGCACGGATACTCGTAAAAATAAAGTCATGAATAAACTATAAATATCCTATCTTCTTTATGTTATAAATAATTTAACAATGATCATGAAGCTTACCTCCGAATTCTCTGAGTGTATTTTTAATTTTATACGCATTCTTTCGATCGAATAATAACCGCTTCAGTAACATCTTTAAGCGTGTTGCGGCAGCCCTCAGCGTGTCTATTGCCGTATTGGGTGCCCGTATGGGTATATAATGCTACTAAACCCGTATGACCCCGTAAGAAGCGGAACATTAATTCTCGATTCGACAGTTTTGACCGAAGTGTGATAAAGCCCGTAAAACGAATGTATAGTTGTGTTTGTGCGGCATGCGTGTTCAAAAGTAAATAATCCCATCCGAGTCGCTAATCAAATAATTAGAACAAAATATTTCAAAAAGTAAAGCTATAAAATTTGCAGAGATTTTACTAGAATGTAAAAGACGGTAACTAAATACAGGAATGCGGGTAGTTATGTGTGCGAACGCTCAAAGTCAATGCCAATTGTCGTAGGTATCCAGACCACTCGGACCAAAGACTACTCGGACTAAGACCAGTCGGACCAAAACAAGACCAGTCGGACCAATTAAATTATATTATAAGGCTAGACAATATGCTATTTATTTATTATTAAATCACAATACAAAGAAGCAAATAATTCTTATACGGAATTCTTATATTTAGAGTTGTTTGGTTCAATTTTGTGTACGTAAATAAATCAACGATTAGTTTTAAAATTAATTAATAATGGTGCCAAAAAAAAACATCAATCTAATTTTTCCTTACTCTTGCAATGAGACTCGGTATGTCCAGACTTTTGACAGTTTCTACATATACGGGTATACTGTTCTTGTCTGATAGCCTAATTTTACTTTTTCCACATTCGCGGTATCCCCAGTGGTTTCATTCCGTTCTACCCCACTAACCCCTGGGTTAATATGGGGGGGGGGGGTGGATACACGTTTTCAAGTTATCCGCCCTTGATGCGTTAATATAAACAGCACATAATAATACGAAGACCGGACGTTTATATGCCCCTTTTTAAACGTGACTACAAGTGTGGTTCTCGATATTTTGCGATTTGGAATACAATTATCAATTTATTCAAACAACACGTTATTATTAGTTCGAGTAGTCATATTAAAACACACACAATTATCAATTTATTCAAATAACACTTTATTATTGGTTCGAGTAGTCATATTAAAATAAACACAATTATCAATTTATTAAAATAACACTTTATTATTGGTTCGAGTAATTATATTAAAACAAACGCAATTATCAATTTATTAAAACAACATTTTATTATTGGTCCGAGTCGTCTTTCTGTTGGGTCCGAATAGTCTTTTTGTATGGTCCGAGTAGTCTATTTGTATGGGCTGAGTGGTCTATCACTTGGTCCGACTGGTCTTGAACCGAGTGATCTTTGGTCCGGGTGGTCATGGATTCTTGTCGTAATTGTACTTGAATTTCCTATGCTGTCACCCCTATTACGAAATGATATCTTCCGCAGAGTGACGTAACCATCTTCCATATTGGTATTTTTCTCTGGGAAAAGTTTGTGATATTTCAATTTTTCAAGAGAGAACTTGTTTTCATCGTTGTGATAATTAGTTGTGCAATGGATTTTATCGAACGGGAGTTCATTACAAACACATAGGTAAGTTTATAATAACCAACGTTAAGTAGTTTGTTCATAATCGAAGAAATCCGTTTAAAATTTACGATGAATCAGACAGTAGTCCTGCATTGACCTTACTGCCAACTTTTTGGGGGACCAAACCCGGACTGAGAGGGGGGCTGTGTTACGATCCTGTGAACACCCCTACCATGCATTTATTGTTTTTATTGTTGTATAAATTATTATATAATTTATAAGTTGTTGACTGTTATGAAGTATTTTAATCAGAACGTGCCTTTCTTTGTTAATGAGATCACTGGTTTGTTTACCTACACGAACTTGTTCTCCCTCGCGTCACAAATGGACTGCGCCATTTTTTCCACGCCGTTTTCTTCGCCGAAAGAAAGTATTGTGTATTTGTATGGAGCGTTGAGATGGTTGTTTAATTTCAAAAATCTCGAAGGGCAGATAGCTAGGTGGTTCGAAACCTTAGCTGCCTAAGAAAGTATTGTGTATTTGTATGGAGCGTTGAGATGGTTGTTTAATTTCAAAAATCTCGAAGGGCAGATAGCTAGGTGGTTCGAAACCTTAGCTGCCTATGATTTTGAAATTGAGCACCGTCCTGGACGAATCCACTCTAATGCTGATGCACTGTCAAGGCGACCATGCTTCGAACGTAACTGTTCGAAATGCTCTTCTGCTGAAGAGAGATATGGGGAATTTAGTCATGTTCGAAATGACGTAACCCCAATGGAAGATGTTGCACCAAAGCTGGTGCGAGCCAATAATGAAAATGTAAAACCTACCACTGACATAGAGGGAGATCCGATTCCACCTATATCATTCCGGATGGTTGGCATTGGCACTGCAGATATCACTCATCGTAAATTTTAAACGGATTTCTTCGATTATGAACAAACTACTTAACTTTGGTTATTATAAACTTACCTGTGTGTTTGTAATGAACTCCCGTTCGATAAAATCCATTGCACAACTAATTATCACAACGATGAGAACAATTTCTCTCTTGAAAAATTTGAAAATTTACTTGTAATTTCGACAGAGGCGATGTCAACAATGTCTTCGTGACGTATTGGTCGAATCCAATATACCTGTTGCGGGGGTTGGTTAACATTGAAAGATAGTTTGACAGCGCGATCATTTTGATCGTATATGGGTTTGGGCGACGAAAAATATCAATTGAAGGCAATTACATAGGAGATTTATATGGAAACCATTGATCGCCAGTCTATCAAATTTTCTTCACAATTAAAATATCACTGATTGCACGGATACTCGTAAAAATAAAGTCATGAATAAACTATAAATATCCTATCTTCTTTATGTTATAAATAATTCAACAAGGATCATGAAGCTTACCTCCGAATTCTCTGAGTGTATTTTTAATTTTATACGCATTCTTTCGATCGAATAATAACCGCTTCAGTAACATCTTTAAGCGTGTTGCGGCAGCCCTCAGCGTGTCTATTGCCGTATTGGGTGCCCGTATGGGTATATAATGCTACTAAGCCCGTATGACCCCGTAAGAAGCGGAACATTAATTCTCGATTCGACAGTTTTGACCGAAGTGTGATAAAGCCCGTAAAACGAATGTATAGTTGTGTTTGTGCGGCATGCGTGTTCAAAAGTAAATAATCCCATCCGAGTCGCTAATCAAATAATTAGAACAAAATATTTCAAAAAGTAAAGCTATAAAATTTGCAGAGATTTTACTAGAATGTAAAAGACGGTAACTAAATACAGGAATGCGGGTAGTTATGTGTGCGAACGCTCAAACTCAATGCCAATTGTCGTAGGTATCCAGACCACTCGGACCAAAGACTACTCGGACTAAGACCAGTCGGACCAAAATAAGACCAGTCGGACCAATTAAATTATATTATAAGGCTAGACAATATGCTATTTATTTATTATTAAATCACAATACAAAGAAGCAAATAATTCTTATACGGAATTCTTATATTTAGAGTTGTTTGGTTCAATTTTGTGTACGGTAAATAAATCAACGATTAGTTTTAAAATTAATTAATAATGGTGCCAAAAAAAAAATATCAATCTAATTTTTCTTTACTCTTGCAATGAGACTCGGTATGTCCAGACTTTTGACAGTTTCTACATATACGGGTATACTGTTCTTGTCTGATAGCCTAATTTTACTTTTTCCACATTCGCGGTATCCCCAGTGGTTTCATTCCGTTCTACCCCACTAACCCCTGGGTTACTATATATGGGGGGTGGGGGGTGGAGACACGTTTTCAAGTTATCCGCCCTTGATGCGTTAATATAAACAGCACATAATAATACGAAGACCGGACGTTTATATGCCCCTTTTTAAACGTGACTACAAGTGTGGTTCTCGATATTTTGCGATTTGGAATACAATTATCAATTTATTCAAACAACACGTTATTATTAGTTCGAGTAGTCATATTAAAACACACACAATTATCAATTTATTCAAATAACACTTTATTATTGGTTCGAGTAGTCATATTAAAATAAACACAATTATCAATTTATTAAAATAACACTTTATTATTGGTTCGAGTAATTATATTAAAACAAACGCAATTATCAATTTATTAAAACAACATTTTATTATTGGTCCGAGTCGTCTTTCTGTTGGGTCCGAATAGTCTTTTTGTATGGTCCGAGTAGTCTATTTGTATGGGCTGAGTGGTCTATCACTTGGTCCGACTGGTCTTGAACCGAGTGATCTTTGGTCCGGGTGGTCATGGATTCTTGTCGTAATTGTACTTGAATTTCCTATGCTGTCACCCCTATTACGAAATGATATCTTCCGCAGAGTGACGTAACCATCTTCCATATTGGTATTTTTCTCTGGGAAAAGTTTGTGATATTTCAATTTTTCAAGAGAGAACTTGTTTTCATCGTTGTGATAATTAGTTGTGCAATGGATTTTATCGAACGGGAGTTCATTACAAACACATAGGTAAGTTTATAATAACCAACGTTAAGTAGTTTGTTCATAATCGAAGAAATCCGTTTAAAATTTACGATGAATCAGACAGTAGTCCTGCATTGACCTTACTGCCAACTTTTTGGGGGACCAAACCCGGACTGAGAGGGGGGCTGTGTTACGATCCTGTGAACACCCCTACCATGCATTTATTGTTTTTATTGTTGTATAAATTATTATATAATTTATAAGTTGTTGACTGTTATGAAGTATTTTAATCAGAACGTGCCTTTCTTTGTTAATGAGATCACTGGTTTGTTTACCTACACGAACTTGTTCTCCCTCGCGTCACAAATGGACTGCGCCATTTTTTCCACGCCGTTTTCTTCGCCGGCTGCAAGTAGACGAAAACTCCTCATAGCTCCGTACAAATGGAGTGTCATGAACCAATGAGTCCATGGGCTACGCTACAGTATTAAACCCAATTATCGATATCTGCATATAAATAAATATATTTCTGCCTCGAGTCTTACCGTATTTTCGTTTGGAACATTGACGAGGTAACAGTCCGCCTAGACTGGACAACCTGCTCTAAATGACGTCAGGCTGGTTCCTACGTCACTGCGCTATTCTGACTTCAATATAGAGACAGGTAGCGGGCAACCATCTTGCCAGGAGGAATTCCTCCCGGCAGTGCGCATCGCTTTCTGCGCACATTACCAATGTAAACAAAAACATGATAACGTTCTATTCGGACGCTAAGTATCTATAGCAATAAGCTATTGATTATTAAGATGTCAACACCAATTAAATGCAGCGGTAGTTTATGTTTAGTTTAGAACCCAAAGAGGACAGGAAGATTGAAAATCTTCCAGATCTACATTTAAAATTACAAAAATACGGGGGAATAACTATAATAACGGGAATTATTTGTAGAAACTGCTTTCGGAGACTGCAGAACCTTCATGAGAAAACAGTTCAATTTTATGACGACTGTCAGAGAAATTATAAGAGGGTAAGTAAGATATCTAAATGATCGCTTAGACCTACATATATATATATATAGTTCATACTAATACTATAAACTGCTGAGGACAACTTATATAATAACTGTGGTTTTATTGACGAAATTGTGCTACGAAATAGTCAATCTTATTGCTGACAATGAATGAAGAGTGAAAAAATAATTTTTGTTCATTTTTTAGTTTATTCTTTTCTAGGTTTGTGGTAAACGAATGTTAATGCCAATGTCAGCCGAAATAGAGCTATCCCACAGACATAAGAAAATTCATACAAAGAGTATTGGTAATTTGCTTTTGATGTCATTCTTTATCATATGTCATGTAAATGTTGTCAAAATAAGAACACTGCGTCTGGGCCAAATTTGCCTCATCATATTCATAGCAAAGAAATGTTCTTACAGTTATATAAATCTCTTATTCGACCTCACTTGGAATACGCTGTGTATTAGAGCAGTTGAAAATGTACAACACAGAGCGACTAAACTAGTGAATAAGGGACTAAAAAATTTTAAACCTTGATTACCAGCAACACTTGTTAAGTCTCGGTTTGCCCTCGTTGGAAGGAAATGTTATGATGTCATCCAAGTCTACAGGATTCTTGAAGGAAAAGATATTGTTGATAATATTTAGACGAAACACTTTGAGAAATAAATTTATTTAGGACAAGATCTAGCTCAAACATGCGCAAACCTATCAATGCTAGAAGTAATAAAGGTGGTCAACAAGCCAGATGGTAGACCAAAGAAAAGGTATAAAAGGTATAGCACACTGCTTCGCATAAGCCTGTCTTCATTAGATAAAATGACACTATGACAGTGATGTTATTTCTTCAACATGTTGCTATTGTCTTCGATCCAGCTATATTCATGGCCATATATATTGTAACCAACTTGATTTGTAACCTTATTTCATTAATTAATAACAAGCTACAATTTATTGATATGTTTTATTTACTATAGTACTAGTGATAATACTATAATATTTCAGTTTTTCTGACTAAAATGATTTTTTTTTATATTTTAAGTTTGGCCGTCAAAAATAATTTCAAATGGTTCTGATATAGATAGTGGTAAAAATATAAATGGTAAAAATATAGCGCAAATTCCATCTTCAAGTTCAAGTGAAAATATCAAAACAGAAATCAGGAGCCTAGGTGAGCATCAGCAATTTCCTTTTTGTTTTGTCTATACAAAATTTTTGATATTCACAACAAAACACTTGGTGAAATTGAAAATGTAAGAATGTGGAAACCCACTCTAAATCTTTATTAAAGATGCATTATGTAAGAGCTAAATCTACCTATCACAAGTCTTTTTCTGGCTTCAAATGTTATATAAATTATAACTCAGACTTTTATTTATAATCAACTCTCTACTAGTCTAGATCAATAGTACTGTTGGTCCAAACCTTATTCATCTAAATTTTTTCAGTGATGCCTTCAGAAGTAGTTGTCAGTCTTGATGGTAAAATTCTAGCAAAAATGAACGAAGAAAACAGTAAATCAAATTTGGAAACACCACTTTCATCAGATGAAACTATTGGAAAAAAAATCAACTCAGGTGGGCAATATCATTTAAATAGATTGAATATTATTGTTATTGTATTTAAAGAAGCTAAATTGTTTCCGTTTCAAATCAGTTATGTCCAGCGAAATACGGCATGAGTCTAAACCGACTGGCAATTTCTAGCGTCTGGTTATTCCAGTCTATTGCGCAGGCTCTCCAGTTAAGATATGGCGTCACCGTTTGACATGAGTTATTCTATTACAATAATTAAAAAAAGATAATTAAATTAACAATACCAATGCAAAGTACATAACTATTAATAATTAATTAATAAGCTCACACATCATAATACATTAATGGGCATTAACATGATAATTCTCATATTTTTTCATTTTCCATCACATTCTTAATAATTTCACAAATTCTTAATTTTCGTTATTCTGGAAATTTTATATACATTTCTTAAATATATATTTTATATATATATATAAGATTTATGTACAACCATTTTATTATTTTCTCAAATGCCTTACTCATTCAATACCGAATAATCTCATGTTATTTTGACAATATGGCTTCTCCACACAGTTTACCCTGTCTTCAGTTTGTTCCCCCTGTATACATACTCACTACCCAATCAAGCTGTCACCATTATCATGCTTTCGTTGTACATAGTTTATTACGGTTACATCTCACTGTGCCCACTTTTGATTAATCCAATTAAGGTCTAATTAGGATTAGTGTATTAAGCGGATTAGGATTAGGTGTTATAGGTAATTAGATGGAAAAAAACAAATATTGAAAGTGACTAAATATTCAGTCTTATAATTGGTGAGATGAACTCACTGTAATCGTTAAAGTGATGAATTTTATTCAAAAAACGACACTTGAATATAATATGAATTATGTTCAGTAAGCCTACACATTACACGGTCTTTATAAGGACACACAGAAGTCAGTCTGTCATATTTCATCATGGCAAACGTTCAAGTAAACATCCAGTACATCCCCAATGCTCAAGGTGGAGAAAACTTAGTCCATGAAGAATACAAATTCCGAGTGAAGAATAGGAAGGCAGAACGAGTATACTGGAGATGTTGTATAAAAGGTTGTCCAGCAACCCTGAACACCCACCAAGGCTTTATTACCAAATATTCCAGAAACCACAACCATGTTGCTAACCACACAAGGTGGCAGTCGACAAATTTCTCGTTGCCATGAAAACCAAGGTGCAAGAGGAAACCAAACCAGTCTGTGCAATCTATCAAGAAGAAGTATCAGGTATGTATTTATCTCTAATGTTGTGTGCCGTTGATTTAAATGATTCAACGTTAAAGCATACTGAACATGTTCTTCCGTAACAAACCAATCGAGTGTCTGGTCGAGTATTAATGATATAATAATATGTATAATAAATATTTTCTTTTTGTTTGTTTACAGCCCTTCGATCTGACCGTGACTCAGGTGAGATGATCAGAGAGATTCCAACATTCTATAGTTGCTGTGCTTCCCTGTATAGAGCCCGAGCAAAGATCCTCCCAGCACTTCCTCAGACCCGCAACGATATCCAGCTTCCAGATTCTTACACCAAGACCACATCCGGAGACGACTTCCTTCTCCACGCAGCAGCCGACAACAGGTTTCTAGTGTTTTCCACACAAGAAAATCTTTACCATCTCGCCAATGCAGAGAGAGAGAGAGAAATGGGGTTTAACGTCCACTCGACACAAACTAGGTCATTTCGGGACTAACATATGGTTTAATTTTATTTCAATAATTCGCTTGCGCGTAGGGGTCTTTAGCAGTGGGAGGAAACCGGAGGACCCGGAGAAAACCCACGAGGCTGGACAGGCGACCCTACTCCTTGCCACGTACAACCGGGGATTCGAAACCACGCCAGTCGACTCAATGACAGACTTTATGATACAGCGCGCGCACGCTAACCATTCAGCCATCCAACCCCCCTCGCCAATGCAGACACTATATACTGTGATGGAACATTTAGCATGAGTCCTACCTTATTCACCCAGATCTACACTATACATGCTTTTGTACACAATAAAATGTTCCCTTTGGTGTATGCACTATTACCCGATAAGAAGGAGGCAACATATGTTGAGTTCCTCAGATGTGTTAGAGACAAAACATTGGCACTTGTCAATGTTAATCTTAACCCAGGCCATGTGTTTACAGATTTCGAAGTTAGTATGCAAAATGCTGTGAGAACTGTGTTGCCGAGGTCAGAACTAAAAGGTTGTTTTTTTCACTTTGGTCAGTGTATTTGGCGCAATGCGCAGAAATATGGACTACAAGCAGATTTTTCTCGGGTGCCAGAAATCAATAAAATCGTCAAGCAAGCAGCAGCATTACCATTAATTCCAATACAGCAGGTTGAAGATGTATGGCTGCATGCCCTTGATGATGCACCACTCCAAGATGCCAGAGTGTTGCAATTTGCAGATTACGTAACTGAGTTCTGGATGGAGGGGCAGCATGGCAGAATGATGTGGAACCATTTCCACACTGAAGGTCCACGCACAACGAACCATGTTGAAGGATGGCATTCCAAGATAACATCCATTATTGCCACCCCTCACCCAAATATTTTTAAGTTGGTGGCTTTTTTTAAGAATGAACAAGCTTACTACGAAGTAACCATACTCCAGTTAGGTGCCAACGGAAAATTACGGCCTAAGAGAAGAAAGTACAGGCAACTAGAAACCCGACTCCAAACTCTGACAACAGATCTTCAGAACGGTATAAAGACTGTATTCGAGTATGCCGATGGCGTAGCCCGTTTAACTACATTGTAAATTTTCATTGTTTATCTTGTTTTTGTGTGATGTATGATATACCCATGTATGTTATACTTTTATTACATATTTTATATATAAAACATCGAAAATTGTTATATTTTCATTAAATTATAAAGTGCTAATGTGATGTATGATATATCCATGTATGTTATATTTTTATTACATATTTTATATATAAAACATCGAAAATTGTTATATTTTCATTAAATTATAAAGTGCTAATGTGATGTATGATATATCCATGTATGTTATATTTTTATTAAATATTTTATATATAAAACATCGAAAATTGTTATATTTTCATTAAATTATAAAGTGCTAATGTGATGTATGATATATCCATGTATGTTATATTTTTATTAAATATATATAAAACATCGAAAAATAAAAAAAAAATTACATAAAATATTTGGGGTTTTTTCCATCTAATTACCTATAACACCTAATCCTAATCCGCTTAATCCACTAATCCTAATTAGACCTTAATTGGATTAATCAAAAGTGGACACAGTGAACACACCGTTTATTACTACCCAACCCTTATGCCCCCTCCCCCCTTATGGTTTCTAAATGATTATCTTTCGTTGTACATTAATGTTTTGTATATCTTTCAGGTATTGTAACTTGTATTTCGTATAATTGTGTCATGTGTTATTCTCATCCAGTTACTAAATGCAGCTTAAACAATTTAACACAGAAGTTATGGAAGAAATTAAATTAAATGCTTTTTCTCAATAATAATTATCCACATTCATTAACATGTAGCTTCCCATAGTTGGCCTTTTCTTCTGGAATCTCTTTGGGGCTGAATTATGAAATTATAGACAGTTACATGAGATTGTAGAGCAAACAGCCATGTTTTCAACTGATGCACTGATTTTGATAATGTTTGATTTCTTTAATAATAATAAAATAAAAGAGGTTAATTAATTTTTTAACTTCTTGCTTACAACATGTTTGACTTTATCAGTAACTTTATTTTCTTTTAGTGAGGATTTATGCGATCTGTATACGTAACCTTGACATGATATTTATTTAATGATAGGCAAGTGTTTAACCTGTATGATCTGTTCTTGAATTTTCAGATAAATCTAAAAGAACCAAATGTTGCAGGAGTTTACCATTCGAGTCTTGGGGCGAGCACAACTATTTTCAATCAAATGTACTTGGTTCGAAATTTAAGAAGAAAATGAATTCCTCAGTAAAGATGGAAACTAAAGACCCACTTCAAAACACATCTAGTGAATACCGAGAAGACTCATTTCAAAACACATCCCAACTGTCACTTAGAAAAAATATATACAAAATGATAGAAGAGAATTATTTCAATAAAGATGATCAAAACATTTTAGGTCCAGACGACAAATTCAAATTAATTAAAACAATAAAAGAAGAAAATATTAATAATATTTCTGAAACTATATTAGGCATTCCCCTTCTTTCCAGTTCAATAACATCTATCATTTCACGCAATATTAATAAATCTGTTGATGATTTGAGATTTAGGAAAGGTTGTAACACAAGTATTCTAATGCAGAAAAATATTGAGAATTTACAAACTTTTAACTGGCAAGCAGTAGTTTCAGAAATGAAACTAAAATTTCCTACACTATTTACACTCTTGATTTCATTGACTATATCACCATTAGAAACACGTAGTACAAAATATGCAAAGATCGATAAAATAATTCCAAGAATTGGTCTTGTGTATGGGATTCTGATGCAGATTAGAAATATGGAGTTGAGCCTCATTCAGAGAGTGACATCAATGTTGCTTTTTGACAATATATGTGATCAGAAGGTAAACTCTATAATCTGAAATTGAAATTATTTAATATTATAATTAAAGGCACAGTATTCTGTAATTAGTGACCATTCAAACTCCTTAATTAAGTTACATAACATTGTTATTGACAATTTGTTAAGCAAATCTATCAATTGATTTGAATACTTAAACTCACTTATATCAACAGTTTCCCCGTGAAATCTCGGACCGTTCCTCTAAATGATATATTTTCTCAACAGGTAAGAGCCTGAATACATACATGTAATTCCAAAATATGAAAACATATTAAATTATATAATAAATATGTTATAATTTCAGGTTTTTGATAGGTTTCAAAGTATGGGCGTATGTTTAAGCTATGGAAGGAGTCGCCAACTTGTGGAAATGGTTGGTGGTCATTTTAACCAGCAAGTTGTAAACGCAGTTCTGCAGAATAAAAGATTCCGCATTGTAGGAGATAACATTAATTGGACGGTTGGTGTCCATGATCAACCAATTAACAACACTGTGAAAATGGAACATGCATTTGGTTCTGCTGTGATAATACAAAATTTGAATTTCGATCATTTGAGTATTGAAAAGCCTTTAAGTCAAAAAGCAGATGGTGATATCCAGAAGTTATGTCTAACTTCAGATGACCTACAATTGATCAGGAATGATTATGTTATTTTAATGTCCAGGGCAGTAATGAAATTTATTCCTTACTTCCAAATATTTAAGGATATTCTGCCAGATATGATAAGCGAACCCATACACCCCAATATGATCAATAAAAATAAAGTTATACCATTACCTGTTCTATTTAAAAATGAACAAAACTATTCAGATGTTGTTGAGATTCTAGATTTTTATGAATCCACCATAGCTTCAATATTTCATTCTGCAGGGAAATCAACTGAAGGAACAAAACAAAAATTCATGTTGGGGGTGACCAACTAACACGAGAGAGGTTTTCTGGAGCAAAATCTTTGCGAGCTCACCATATTAATCCCAATGAAAAATTTGCACATTTAAGCCCAATTACATTTGAACTGTTCCATTTACTTATGAATATTCTAAAAACTATCTTCAAAAGGCTATACAGTAAAGAAAGCGGAAAAGAATTAGGAACTTTCATGGCTTTTCAAAATCGACTGTCTAGAACATCCGTGAATGAGAACATCAATGAACATTATGAAGCAAATAAGGATTTTACACTATCGATCACAGATGTTTATTCAGTAGAATGTTTTCTTGAATTTTTTGGGATGGAAGATGCCAACTCTTCTCCTACTTGGCACCAGCCACCAATATTTAAAAACCTATCTGAAAAAAAAACATGGTATTTTCAAACCATAGGAAAGTTGATAGATCAGATGTTTTTTGATCAAGCTCTATTTACAAATCGCAATGTTAAAGGTACAGTAGAAATCAGCTGGTCAAGTTGTCTCAATTGTTAAGTACATGTTCCATTCCAATAATAAATTACAATATTTGGGATTTTTAAGGGGCATTATGGAAGATTAGATAAAGAGCTGGCAGTTCTCACTATAATAGTTAAAAACTAGATAATGTAAAGGGAATATGCTCCACTTGAACTGAGATATTAGCCTTTGAATTTTAGCCTAGTCTCGATCATTATTACTAAAGTCAATAGGATAAAAAAACATAGTCTTGATTATCCATTTTTCGATTAAATCATCATGTATGTTTAATAAATCTTTGTATGTGAGCAAGACAATGCCTCTAATCAGGAAGTGTTACCTTTGTTTTTTTCTTTCTTTTCAGTTGATGGTCAGACACTAACACCAACTCTCTCTACAGGGAAATCTGTGACAAATGTTATCCCACTGAAAAAGCCAAAAGAAACAACTGACTTCATAACCAATTATGCCAAATTATGTTTAAATTTGGGTCTGCTGTACCGAAATTTTATTGACTTAATTAAACTTCCAGAAAGAAAACGTGGGATACGATTACTCAAACTGGCAATGGTATACCTTAAAGCTAACAACAACCACTCTAAATATGCTTTGGAGATTTTAAGATTACTTGTACACCAAAATCTTGTCTTATCAGAAAAAGCAGCAAATGAAGAATTTTATGGTATGTTTGTAAATACAACAGGAAAATATTTGGGACATATTGCAGTTGACAAAAGAATGGAACACCTAGTGAAAACTACAAAAGAACACATAAAGCACATGTATTCTAACAAAACCGAGAACAATATTTCTAAAAGAACTAGTGCAATTGCTAATATTCATGAGTTGGCCGACAATTTTGATAAAACCTCATCTGTATTAATAAGATACAAAAAAACATTCAGACAAGAGTTCCTTAGAAGATGAGCAAATTATGCTCAGTGATCTGCGTAAAGTGAGACCATTTAAATCTATACAAGGTCGCTTTCATCCATCATTTGAACAGATCTCAGGATCACTTGTGAATGATGAGGTACTTGAAAACATTCAAGAATGGATGGAGTCTCGGATTCCACAGTACAAATTTGAACTGGGAAATTAAAATAAAAGAATGTCTTTTTACTTACCGGTACTTGATTTAAATCATACTAGCATATAAATAATGATTTTGTAAAAACACCACATCAAAGGATTTTCATCAGTATAAATTACAGGTACTACTAACATCAGTTGTAACGCCCAAGCTCAGATATTATTATATACATGTATTTTTAAATAATTATCTCATTCTTTCCACCAAATGATTTCATCTAATCTGAATTCTGGGATAATCTCCTGTAATAATAATATTATATTATTAGTCTTTTACTGATTATTTCAAGGGACTAATGTAATTAATGTAAACAATGTACTAAACATCAGAATATGATCAGAAAAATGAGAAATCATTCAATAATTATCTTTTATTGTGACCTACATGTATTGTATTTCTTTCTTTTGAACTAACATCAATTTTAAGTTACCTAGAAGCTAACTGAGGTTAGTTTTTTTGATTTTGGTCACAAATATCACAGCAGGATTGGTTAATTTCATAGCTTGAACCAAAATGTTGGCATAAATATGCTCTTCTGCATGTCTCCAACATACAGTAATTATGCATTGTGTTGGTGACTTTAGTGTTGGAGGCAATATCACTACTATTGAAAAATAGTATTGCCTCACTTTGTATGCCATTCCGTCCAGCTCTTCCGATTTCTTGCATGTATGCTGTAAAATAATGTAATGATTTTGGCCATGTTACATCTTAATTATTAAAGCTGGTTAATATGCATTTTTATACGCCCACATTTTCATGTGGACGTATATTGTTGTTGCCCCTGTCCGTCCGGATGTCCGTCCACAATTGTTGGTTGACACTCTACAGGTCACAATTCTTATCCGATTTTGACGAAACTTGAAATATAGGTTTATCTCCAAAAGATCTCGCCTGCTTTTGATATTGGCATGTATCGGATCAAAACTTCATGGATTGTGGCCCCTGTTTGTACGAAAAATCACGTTTTTAGCTTGTGGACCCTATAGAGGTCACAATTTTTATCTAATTTTGTTGAAACTTGAAATCTAAGTTTATAACCCAAAGATCTTGGTTCCTTTCGATATTCGCGCATACCGGACCATAACTTCCTGAATTATGGCCCCTGATTGTACGAAAAATCGCGTTTTTAGCTTGTGGACCCTATAAAAGTCATAATTTTTATCCGATTTAAAAAAAAAGTTTTATAATATCATCTTGCATTTTTAATGTGGCTGTTGCTGTCATGGCTATTATTTTACTATTGGTTAAAATTGATAAGATTCTGCTTATTGATGAATATTCCGGCCTAAAACTGTCTCCCCAGTTTACAATGCAATGTGCCTCATCAATAGTAATATGCGATATTGTATCAACAAAACTGATGATGTCAAAAAAGGGTTTGGATAATAACTGTTCGGGATGGCCAATTAAAAAACTAAAATTTCCAGTAAGCAGTTTATCTAGGCCTATCTGATCATCAGATGAAACTGTGGAACCTGCAAAAATTTTCAAAATCCCAATCCTTCTGTAATATAGTGGCAATTTTTAAAAATTAAATATTATATAATAATTATTTATTTTGTATACCTGCACTAGGGCCTATTAATATTATTTATAAATTATTATTAATACTTTAAATTAATAATAATATGCCATATACTATGATTATGAACATCACTATTCATGTTAAAACATTTGAATTAAATGTACATATTCAATCAATTACTTACATAATACATGAACATCTATTTATTCTAATAATACTATTAATATTTATTGATTTTTTTGTAATCATTATTCATTATATTAATAAAAATTATATCATATTATTCATCACATACCTTTACTTCTTTCTGCTAGTTTTTTTTTTATTAAACATTGATTTATGAATACTGCCTTATCCCCAAAACTATGTAATTTTTCCTCAATAATCGAATTTAGTGGTACAATAATTAATATTTTAGAATTTGCGATATACGGTAATAAATCAAAAATGAGCGATTTACCATAGCCGGTAGGTAAATTTACGATTATATCTGAAATAAGAGCAGATTTTAAACTGTCGCTTTGTTTGGGTTTGAGATAACTATAGGTGGTTGCGCGATCTACGTTTAATTTGGCTAAAGCAATTTTAGACATCAAAGAAAAACTTAAAAATTCACCGATCTTACTCATTTTAACGCTGGACGCCAATGGGGTTGCCCGTCTATTTTTAGTAACAGTACGTCAAAACATGGCTGCCCACTACCTGTCTCCAAAGCCGTATATAGATAAAGTTGCGACAACTGTGAAGCCAGAAATTTCATATGACGTCATGAAAATATGACGTCAAATGTACAAAGACGCCATCTTGGGTCCCAAGTATTTGTACCTACTCACTATCTATTTTATGTCCTATCATACTGTTGTGTCGAAGTTGGCTGCCCCCGACAGGGATGTAGATAGATATGTCATAGAATTCCGCGAAAAAGAGATAAAACATACATATTTTAAACGAAAAGTATAGCTTAACAAACTATTATTATTATTATTATACAACAAAAAAGCGCACATTATTGTTATAATAATATAGTCTAATTCATAAGAAAATGAAATGAAAGATACACCAGATAAAAGCGCTATTAAATATATTTAACTTGCATACGCTTTTAAAAATCAGATTTATTGTGCAGACGGGTAAAGTGAAAAATGAAAATTTAAATAGTAATTTGGGAGATAAAACCATTTTGCCTTCTAGCCGGCAAAATAAATGCCTGAAATTCCATGATTTTTTGGTCTGGAGCCATTCCGGATTGTGTGTCAGTTTTCGGTCATCGATCATTAATTGTATCATCAATTTTTCGAAAATCAAAATTTCTTTAAATTGGCTAATGGATAAAACATTTAAAATCGGCGTAGCTTAAAACCAGTGTAAAATCAGTGTAATTTAAATAAAAGATGTCTAGTGTGACATGTGTTTCGGGCATATGTTTCATAAGTGACATGTGATACGAGGTATAGCTCTCCGAAACTTTCTGGTTTCTTATGCAATTTATTTGGGGAAAGACGTTATCACTCCCCACCCGTGTGTAAATAATAATATTAATCTAATATATAAACCGCACATATTTAACGGATACAAATAATGTACATGTTATTCCACAGGTAGACAGACATTGAAGGGCCCATTGAAGGAGACGCAGTTGGTTTAGAGTTTGTCCGACCCTTTTGGGTATTTGCGCCCCATTTCCAATGAAATATTCATGTTGTTCTGATGGTCAACTAGTATCAAATATGTATCTTGTCTGAGGTTTGTTCCATCATTAACTAGATGTTTAAAGCGCGCCAACATTTCAATGTAGCTAGAATTTTCTACACCAAGTCTATTGCATCTAGATGTTTAAAGCGCGTTAACAATATATTCATTTAAGAGCAACTATATGTCATTTCGGGATTAATATACCACATATTACAAGTCATACCCAACGGAAAGAAATGACGATTAATTAAAATTCCAACATTTTGGATTTTATTTTGCCGGCCATTTGAATTTCTACCATCAAGAATTCTCGAAATTAAATTTTTGAGATTATCGCTGCCCTTTTATTACCAAATTAATGTTGTTTTCTTTTTTTTTATTACCAAATTTGGCAGTCGTTTTTAAAGAAATGCCCGCCACCAAATGACAAATACATTTTTTAAATTGATATTTGTCAAATTCGATTTTTCGGCACATTTCGCTTGCATAACCACTATGTGTTTGAGGAATTTTTCTTGGCCGATTTTGAGTATGATTTTGTCTGACATATTTACCATTGAACCAAACTGCATTGGTTTCTTTTGCAATTTGTTTAGGACCCGTAAAACGTTATACCAAGAAAAAAATAAAACGTTTTGTTAAGTCATAGAAATATATACAGACGGAATGTCCACGCGAAGAGTTTAGCGTTATGACGTTGTATTATGTTGTGCAGCGCCTGCGCGAATAGGAGGATGCACAAGTGACTTCCGGTAGAATGAAGTCCTGCATGAAGTAATGGCAGATGCCAGTTATTTTCTGGAATTGGACGGCGTGATAGATGTAAAGTTATGAATGAAAAGATTAACCATTTGCTTTTAAAACCAAAATATCTGATCTAAATTACATCGGGGCGTCTCAGATATCATATAATAAAGTTTTTAATGAATTATAATGTAAATATTGTGCAATTCGTAATTTATCTCTGTACCGCCATAATCATAATAATACTACTTTACTAGGCTCTATATAAAAAAAATAGGCCTAACTCGCTTTTTTTTTTCGACGAGTGCAACTAGGCTATATAATAAATTTCTTCTGTTTATTTTCGCCACAGGAATTCTTCTCAGATTTTGTGGAGTCTGTCCCATATTACGATGATGGTGGAAAACCACTAAGTAAAAAAACTAAACAGGTAGGCCCTATATTGTACCCAAACCACGAAGTATTATTTTAATGATTATTTAATTTATTATCAAAGCGCCTATAGTAAGATTAAATTAACATTTTAAATTTCCTTTCTAGAGGCCTACTGCTGTAGAAAATTGTAGGCCTATATCATCTGTTCGGTTACAGAAAATAGCCAGTAACCTAACATCAACAAATCCATCATTTGCTTCTGTGCAGATATTGGATGGTAATATGCTTTTTAAATTTTATTCACAAAGTATTTGTTAGCCTTTATTTATAGTTCCAATGTTTAATTTTCATTTTATTTTTCTATTTTTCATTTTTGCTTGGTTATGATGAGTTCCTAAAGATAATTACACAGTCAACATTCTGTTAAAACGTCTATGCAAGCAATATCAGAAACATTTATATGAATCAAAAGAGAAAGATTTCAAGATTAAGTAGTTAATATATCTAAGAAACTGAACAGAAAACCATCCTGTTTGAATGCCTGTTCATTCACATCCATATGGAATCTCTGCATATATTTTGTGATGGATAATTTAACGTAAAAATTGATAATCGAGACTGTTAATTATAGAATTGGCGTTAGTAATGATGATCCAGGCTAGCTGAAAAATGAATCGATAGTATCTTGGTTCAGAGTGAAGTGATATGGCTGAAATTTTCAGCATTTTCTGTTTTCATTACCAGTATTAATTTTTAACTATATAGTGAAAACTGTCAGCTCTTTTACATATCTAATCTTTACCTAATGCCTCTTTAAACTTCTGTATAATCTCAATATTATCAGTTAAATCAATAGAATCTATACCGTAAACTCTTTAAAATATATCAATGGTAATTAATTGGATGGACATCGGTTTGCTTGATAAGGTAATATTGATTTATTATTCAAAAAATTACAGGGCATAATTTTAAGAGCATGGTTAGACAGTTTGCATTGATGCAGTACACTGACACTATTTCTGTTGATTCAAAATTGTTTTATTATACATTTAGTATGTATTATTTTAATACTAATATATATTTTATAACTTAACTTATGTATGTAACCTGCCAAATATAAATTGTACACATGTAATTATTATTATAGGCCCCAACATAAGTATGAGTGTATAATGCAGTTGCCCTTTCTGCTCACTAGAGGCCACAATTTTTGACGAATCTTTTTCAAACTTGCATTTGATCATAATCACATTTTACTTTCTGAGGTCATGGCACTTTAATTAGCGTAATTTTGCTTTTTCGCCACAGTCTATTGCTAAATGTTTTCATTACAAAACTGCTGTGTAGGTGTATTTCCATGCTTTGCGTGGCTATCTTGTTTTTATTTTAGTGTCATATATTTTTTTTTGGTATAAACTGGACATTAAATAGCTTTTTACAAGTAAATTTATGCTTTTTGTGTTGTATTTTCTATTGCAGTGTCTTCCATAATTGACTTTTTGCACTCCATTACTTTTCCTTTCGTCTGGTTCTTCATATAAAGAGCCTTGTGCGGAAAAAAGCTGGAGTACATTTCATACCAGTTTACCAGTTATATCTGAAGATCTAGTTCAACATTTTAATTTGGACAGAAATTTTATTACTCTTCTATGTATTAAATGACTCTCAGTTACAGGGTGTGAGTTCAGAGGAGAGCAATATTGTCATTTACATTGCTGGAAGTGTCATTAGTAAATTTCTTCACAAATATAATGAAACAGATCATAAAATTCGCCACGATATATTTAGTTGCATGAAAAGTGATAATTGTTCAACTGATTTTAATAATCAACATGATTTAGTTAAATTATTTGATAGAGGTGGCTTAACATATGTTACAAAGAAAACTGCAGATTTTTTTTAGGTTTAGAGATAAACAGATACATTTGAATTTGTCAAAGACAGATTTCAGAGTCAGTTGCATGACAAACACTTATTTTAAGAGCGATTTCTTTGACGCTACCAATCAAACAGAACAATTTACAGACAAAGGTTTAGAAGAATGTATGATTCTTTGCATAGACATGGTTTTTTTAATAAGAGCACATCACAAATGTAAGCGCATGATACAACATGTGAGAGAATGTAAAGGTAAAAAATTTAAAATCGACATAGGGCTACGAAAAAACTTAAAAAAGATGACAAAATAGGAATGTTAAACATTGTACATTTGTACAGTAATTAATATTCATTTTCATGATAAATACAATTTAAGGGCGTTGAGTACTCTAAAATGCACATTTTAAAGCTAGCACTGTAAGTTTTGTTCATAAGATATGTCCATTTTTGTTATTTGGGGTGATGAACTATTTTTAATCATCCAAAAAAATTGTATTTACCATCCATGTTCCAAACTTGGCCCAAAAGCCTGATAATAAAGGGTGCTGATGACAACAAAAGTCAAATTGTCTTAGTTATGCATCAAATTCAGCATGAACAATGCTAATTGCAAGTACAAAAAACATAAGGCAGATTTTTCGGCTATAAATTTTATTCATTCAAAAATGGTATTCTATTCGATCAACAGTGAGGCTGATGTCCCCCGCCGAAATCCCAAAATAAATAGATGACACATATTAATTAATTAATCGCACATTTATTTTTTTCAAAAGTATCAAGCAATCAAACTATACACTAAGTTTCATCACGCTCGATCAGATGGAATCAAGATTATCTTGTCCCAAAGCATCGAAATGAAATGAAATGAAATGGGGTTTAACGTCCTACTGTTCTGCTCCTAACC